AATTAAATCAATTCCATATTCCAGCTTTGCTGTTTGTTATACACAATTGCTCAATGTAAGTATGGAGTGATGATACTAGTATCTTTGTTATTCACTTTTTAAGCTGTAAAATGAAAGCTTTATGAATCAATAATAGTCCGGCTATTCCTGAAAATACATCGTAAACAGATAAGATTGTAATTGTGAGTACGCGCGATAACGTAACAGATAACTATGTTCATTTAGGTAGATAAATACAGTACTGCCGCTAATGAATTTCGAGGCTGTCGCCTAGCGCGTTCTCGCAGATCTATATTCATAATTGGGTCATTCTTCCTTTGTATCGACAATCGCAAATAAAGTTTATTTTACCTAAAATATTAATTTAAAAATAAGTAAGTAGGGAGTATGTACTTATTTTTTTTTCTTTCATATAATGTTGTATTTCCTATTGCCATAAAATTACCTTAGATTCCCTATACATCGAAGTTTTACCAGTTATTCACAATTTTAAAGTTTTATCAGACATTGCTGTTTCTTCTAAATACTTCCATCACAAAAACTTATCTATATATGTACATACATCGTAGAAAACTATATTTTAATCGAGGTTTCGATCGATTAATAATCGCTCTTTTTCATTTTATGCATGACTACTTTCTTCCTCTTCACCTTTGTATGACGTCATTAATAAACATCGAAGTTATTTGGATATATCTATCTTTTTGTTCTGATAAATTCTGCTTCGTTTCCAGCCTATCACCTTATTAACTTCGTCCGATTACAGATTAATCTTGATTGTAAATATACCGGTACCTATTTACGATGAAGACATCCCTCGGCCCTCGATTCGCTCCATCCAACCTGTTACAACATCGTACTCTCGTAACGTACATCATGGTGCTGATGTATTTATACCGACCGCGACCGATCTCTCCCGCTGTGTTTTGATTTCGCGACAGCTACCCGATGTTTGTTTTCCTCCGAGCTACAGTAATATCACAAAATAGAAATGCACAGAAGGCAATCTGATGTATGTACTGCACATTTATTACCTTTTTTTTACGTCTGGGAAATGCCTTACGCATCCTTCAACCACTGGGGGAGCAAGAAAATGGTATGTGGGACTTCAGCCAGCCCTAAGGCTCGTTGAAGTGAACAGGACCCTACCTACGCCCTGAACAGGGCCACTAAAAACCAGACAATACTCTTGCACTAGTCACCTGGCGCGTCAGGAGTGCGGGTGATATGCGGTACCCTGTTCGATTGGCTCTCGACGGTCGCAATAGGGTTGACAACTTTGGCTTGTGTACAAAAATTAACGAGTTTGGTAGTGGCAGTCGTACTTATCTAGTCGATTTATTGTTGAGCATGAAACAGGAAGAATAGAAAAATAAAGTTATCTAAACTATTTCAATGTTAATGTTATAATTAGGTACTATAAAAAAGAAGTTTAATTTTAAATTCAAATAACCATCCAGTAAACAGTTATAATATAGTTATTATTGCGCTTGTCATTATACACTAGTGTGTATAATGACAAGCGCATGGAACTTGTGCTCGCACTGATCTCAAGTGGTCCGAGATATCATGTCCGTGAGCGATGTCTATGCGTGCGTTGCGCGAGAGCACTTTTTAGGTTACCTTCTGTACTATCCATTTTGTGGTAATATCGCTTCTTCTGATCTGACTAACTTTGCTCCCATTCGGATCTCACATTCAGTGCTAATACCAGGTACTGTCAAGGTCGTGACACTGGGTGTTTCCATCACGAATATCGCTTTTATTGCTTTGTAACAGGTACTCGAATATCAAGTTGAACTACAGATGAGATAAGTCTTTTACTGTACGTCCGCTAAATCTCAATTTTATGAAAGGCCATGAGGCTCATAGTATATTAGTATAAATAAATGAACCATAAGACTTCCCAGTGTCGTAATATTCTACATTCCTAGGTTGAATTTAATAACAGATTTATTAAATACAATATTCAACGCGTGCAACTGAGAGAATTGCTATTTCATATTTAAATGAAGAAAGACCGCTTTATTGGTCGATTGTATTCATTATTTTTTTTAACAAGCACGAAATCTTGAGTCTTTTCTTCTTTGTATTACTTATTTTGGAAAAGATGTGTCGATCAAGATTTTTTACACCAAATAGTTATCTTGTTTTTGTCAATAAAGACTTCTTCCAAAGAAGAGTTTCATTTAACTACTTTTCATCGTCGGCTACAAAATTTCTTGAAATTAATTTGCTCAAATTGAGTATTGAACTTCTAGATGATTTTATATTATGTAAAAAAAATTAACATGTTCCGCTACTCATACCTAAGAAAAGTTGATTTTATTTAAGTTAATACATTTCAGATATGAAAACTTGTGAGCAGTCATAAGTGTTGCAAAATCAATCCAACCCCTAATTATTCAACTTCAACAAGAGTTGAAGTGTGTTAAACACAGGCCTATTTATAACAGGACTTTAAATAAAACCCACTTAGTTAAAAAATAATCTGAATGAAATGAATGATATTTTAATCATATTTTTATATAACTACTGCAAACAGCTGCTAGCCATTTTTCGATGATAAAAGCATTTCCCTGTTTTCACAGTTCGTAGGTACTTAAAGTTTACGGCATAGAGTTCATTTTAGTTTGTCAGCTAGCTAAGAATTTTGATATGCAAATCCAATGTCATTGACATAGATTTTATTTTCGTGCTAACCAATGACACACAATAGAACTATCAGTTTTATATCTGTCATGACAATTTCTTTTGCAATACAATACAATGACGTTCATTCCATGCTATTTTTATAAATAAAATATGACGATTATGTCTTCTATCATGTGTTTTTTTTTAATCTTTATATATATAATTCTTCTGTGAGTGTGTATGTCACTGAACTTCTCTTAAACGACTGGACCGATTTTGATGAAATTTTTTGTGTGTGTTCAAGGGGATCTGAGAATGATTAGATTCACAATTTTGTCCGCTGGACAACCCCTATTTTTTTAGGGCGGTACGAAGTTCGCTGGGTCAGCTAGTATTTTATATAATATTCGATTGTCTCTGATTGATTTAGAGTACTTACGAAAGCTTTCTACCAATAAAGTGAATCATTAAATACAGTTATGTTACAATTCTTCGAACGGAAACGTTGATAGTCTGCCCAGTGAGTAGGAATAAACATAAATGATGTTATGCTGAAATTCCAAATTCTATGAAGGGTGTCCATGTGTTCAGTCGTGGCTGTAATTAAATTTAACCGGAACATGTGTGTTCTTAATGATTGATGACGCCCATGGTTACTTCTCGTGATAATGTGAAATGGAGCGAATTTAATTCATATAGAAAGCTATTTTAGTGATGGATGATGCGAATACTTGATAATACCTATGTGCCAAAAGAGAGTTTTTTATTGTGGTTATGATGGGTTCCTTAGTTGATCAGTAAATTCGTCAGTGATGGCAGTTGGATATTAAGCGCAAAGGCGCTTAAAGGTTCAGTGGTTACAAGCAAGACCCTATAAAGATAGGGTCTTGTAACCACTGGACCTTTAAGATTCGACTCAAAAACAAACAAGAGCCATTAGGACCTCACGGTTTACATAAATGTACATACGTATGGTATGGAAAAGGCAAAAATCTGCTTTAGGAAGTTACTAAAAAGCTATCGAGGAAGCGGTTAGTTCAGAAACTTTTATCGTTGTATTTCTTTAAGCTGCTATAAACTCGGAATAAATTTATGGAAGCTTCATAGATAAATCAAAATCTCAGTCAATATCAAACTGATTTAAGATCTTCATGAAACTCGGTGACTTATTAAACGACTGCCGAATCGTTCAGTAAACAGCTGGTTCAGTTTACTTTTGCCTCGGTAATAAATCACTTCTACTCCTAACCGATTGAAGTACAATATTTGCTTCTCCTTGACCTGACTTGAGTCACGGCGATACGAACAGATACCAACTGAAGTGACGACTACTGTTGTGACTCACAATCACTCGCGCGGAATGATCGAGTGACTTCGTGACGTAAACTCGACTCGCCGAAAGATTTATTTACCTTTATTGCGAAGAAATAAACATAAACGATAAGTAGCTATCGATAATAATGTGAATGCCAAAGTAAACTTTCTCAGTCCTTGTTATAAATAATAAGCGAAGTTTAAAAATATCCATTATTAAATAGGTAAAAGGTATCTTATAAATTCTTTATATCCTATTTATGTTACTAAAAACTCAGACAGTTTCAAAATAAATAAGTCTAATCTCAAATCAACAAATTCTTTGTTAAAATATGAATCATATTCATAATTCTACCATTATAACACCCTTGAGTTATGATGGTAACAACATATTATTATATCAAATACCTTGGATCCATTGTTCCGCCTTTAACTGTGGAGATGATTAGATACCAGTGCAGTGAGCACAGATTGGCGTCTGAGCAATAAATTGCATTGGTTTATGCGTCAGGTCGGACTATGGACGGGAAGTCGTCTATTCTCCTTGGACCAATCAGGGCGTATAGACACAGAGATTGTACAACCATTTATACAATAAGAAATCGAAATATCTAGATGATTTGTTATACTACTTGGAAAAACGTTTCGGATGTAATGATTATTGACGTGACGTCGTCAAAATGTTCCGCCGGGTTGGGTTATTGGCTGACATGGCCGGTCGGCGATCTCACAGTGAGTGTGATGATCTCTGTGGGATGTTATATTATATTATCGTGATAACAACAACATGATAGCCGAAGTGGCAGAAGATGCGTGTGCGCCGCCCGTCCGACTTCATTTTATGGATGGGAGTTTGTCAACCGACTAGGGTTGGCGACATTGACAAAATATTTATTTGATGTGCTAATTCGTGGCACACATAGTTAATTACCTGGATTAAGATATAGAATACTTTTGTCCTGAAAAAATGTTAGGTTCCTGTAGAATTCGCAAAAAACTTACAATAACGTGAAAAAAGACACGGGCGCTAGTCCTTAATAGAACAAAGATTTTATCTAGCGAATAAAGATAGTGAATACGAAGTGACTATGAAAATAGTCTTTGTTAAAATCCATTGATAGAGTATGTAAGCGTGCAAGGAATCTGACGGATATGAAGGTTAATGTAATACATCAGCGTCATTATGCACTCATCACGTCACGATTCAAGTTCATTGTTTCATATCTTTAACGCGGAATGGACATTAATGGGTAACCCTACTAATAATTGTAGGTATATTACGATTATAACGACGGATGTAGCTTTCGACAACGCAACACACGAGGGTTGCATATCGGCGCAATAACACGACACATGACCAATTTAAAATGCTCTCTGACCTCCAGACATGTCTGTAATACCAAAAATGTCTTGCTTACCTCAGCTACTATTACATAATTAGGTACAAAATCAGCAGCAGAAGGCACATTGATGTCATCAAGGAAAAAGCTAAACTGAAGAAAATAATTTTTATGCTTAGTTTTTGTAAATATCTTATCTGAGACGTGTCGCGGCCACGGCTACTATTCCTTATCTACAAAACAAGCTATCGAATGTGTCTTCAAGGAAAACTCTAAACTAATTAAACAGAATAAAAAATTTTAGTTTCTGCACCTCGCTTTTGAGAGTTGAGACGTGTCCTAGAAGAATTGTACCTATATTATTTATTCGTCTTAAACAGATTTACTTGTGAATAAATAATTGAATGACTTGAGTAATGCCACCTGAATTGCTAAAGTCTAATAGACGTAACGAGGTCAATTAAATCTGCAATATGACGTTATTGTGAGCGACTGCTGTCTACCGAACCAAACAGCTAAACTAGTATAATTAATTAAATAGGTTTATAGCAAATTCGCCTGCGAACAAAGACACTTGTCTCAAAACTGAAACTACTAAGTATAATATTCAGAAACCCATGATTCGTCTGGAAAAAATATAATATAATTGTCATCATCATCATCAGCCTATTAATCACGCCCACTGCTGGGGCACAGGCCTTTCTTATGGTGATTGGGCAATAACCCACCACGAGGGCCTAGTGCGGATTTTTGAGTGCTAACGACTGCAGATGCATCCGGGACCAAAGGCTTAATTTGGCTTCCAAAGCACGGAAGACGTCGAGATAGTAAAATTATGGTCACCCATCCAATGATCAACCACTGCGAAACTTGTTTAACTTAAAAGATTGTAACTGGACGCGCGAACTACTTGTACCATCGTCATAAAATAATGTTCCATAATTAAAGCCTAACTCAAAGGGCATATTGGATAATAAAAAAATAGTTTTAAACTGAGAATTGTTGAAGCACGCGTTGTACTTCAGCATTTAAATCTAGTTTATAATATCAATGATTACAATATGATTACTTACCTGTCTTTTGTTTTTGTTCACAGAGCCGTCGGTAAAACATGTCTACTTATCAGTTATACCACAAACGCCTTCCCAGGAGAATACATACCCACAGTGTAAGTATTTACAAAGTTATTTCTGTTTTGGTGGATCAAAAGAATGGCACTACAATTATAACTTTACCTTAGCTGGTAATTTCTCGTACGAGATAGTAAATGACTTTCGAAAAGGATAACGACATCTATTTGATCTATTTGTAGGCAATGAGCTAGCAGATAGCGTAAACTAAGCAGAGATTAGTTATTTGTTTCTTAGGTTTTCACGCACATCACTCGTTAAATAAAGAATAAGAGATTAGTTGTCTAGATGAGTTTTTTTAATTTTATTGGAAGATAACCGTCAAGTTCAAAGTTTAAAGACTTTAGATTAACACACAGTACGTATGTCATTATGACAACTTATTCCTGTCTATCGTCACTTCCTTGTCACACGTGGTCGAAATTGTGAAATACCGTCCTATGGTCGCCCTCAATAATGACACTAATTATGCGTTATATGGATGATCCGATACAGGATATTTTGTTGGATTATCCAAAACAATCCAGTGGAAGTGAACCTATACAAATACTTAACGATACATTGCGTCCGTACCTACCTAATCTAAATAACCACTCGATCTTTATTGGATCACAGCATTAAGATGTGCGCAGAGTTAATTGGCCGCCCTACGATGTTCCCAGCTTTAAATACTGCCACTAATGACATTGTTCCTGACTATCAATGTAATAGAATAACGGACGTGCTGTATAATGAAACAAATAAAATTTCCTCGCGCCTCGAAAAAAATTTTATTGCTTATATTTTCCCACGTCGTAATCGTAATACATACTTCAGACGCCTGATGCCTGTATAATACATACTTATGAGGTTGAGGAAATTATGACCGCTTTAATTTCCGCCCGAGATCTGCGGTTTCTATCGCTAGATTCACTTATTTTTACGAAGAACCAGCGTACGTTTTGATCCTTTATCAATTTTAATTAAACTTGTTTATATTCTTAAGAAAATATAACTAGAAAAAATTCCACGCGGACCAGGCAGCAGACGGGTGTTATTTTATACGGACGGATATTTTTTTCTAGTTATATTTTCTTTAGATTTAAATATCAAGTTACATACTTAAAAAAAAACTTGTTTGTATTCATTTATTTTCGCTGTAATTTGGTTGTTACTCGGCAATTGCCGTAATAAACCTCTGAGCGCAGGATAATTGGCCTTTATGCGCTCGTTTACTCGTTCCTTGTTACTAAAGGTTTTACGTTTCTGTCAACCCTTTACTACTTCCCCGACTATTGGGTTTCATGCAGAGTGGTTAAAATTATTACTCTCTATGGAGAAAACGAAGCGATCGCTTGATCCTTAGATACTTACCTACTCCTTCTCCAAGTTGTATGACACAAATAAACTACTGATATTATAATAAAACTAGTTTTTACGGGTTAATGCACGAAACTTTATTTATTTATTGACGTTTCGTAGCCTTTACAGGATTCGTCGTCACAATAAAACTTAAAAATCGAACAATGAAATAACCAAACGCTCAATAAAAGTCTCGAAGGTAGCTCGACAAATTAAATAAAAGTTTTATTCTGACGACGAAGCCTGTAAAGGCTACGAAACGTCAATAAATAAATAAAGTTTCGTGCATTAACCCGTAAAAACTAGTTTTATTTAATGAGTGATGTGCGTGAAAACCTAAGAAACAAATATACTGATATTATACCTATAATGCAGTGTTACAAAAAACTATCATCAAAACTTCGTATTCTGCTCTGCCCCCTTAGCACATGTACTTGGATATGATATTTGTATCACGCTCAAATTGTCTAAGTACTATGGATTTGTCAATCAGACGTCATAAAAACGTGACATTTATTATCTCGCAATGCCAAAACTACATACGTGTTGAATTCATCATCATCATCAGGCTATTAATGACCCCATTGAGGTGGGTGCTAATGCCTGCAGATTCAACCGGGACCGGGATTTCGGATTGGGTTAGATTGCTTGCTTTAATGCATTTGTCGACTTTTCCAGATTCGACAATTACTCGGCGAACGTCATGGTGGACGGCAAGCCCATCAACCTGGGCCTCTGGGATACGGCGGGCCAGGAGGACTACGATCGGTTGCGACCGCTCTCCTACCCACAGACAGACGTGTTCCTCATATGCTTCTCACTCGTCAACCCGGCGTCGTTTGAAAACGTGCGAGCTAAGGTGAGCCAATGACGTGAAACGAATTATGATGATGTTTGTTTGTTATTCGCAGTAGTTACACAAAAAACAAAATTTTTCAAAGACATGTCAGATTTTATAATTCCTAGTGTTCTTAAGATATATGTATAGTTTGCTTAAAAGGACATTTTTATGTTGGAGCTATAGTCTTGAGTCCAGCATAGCGATTGTGACTTTTTTATTTTCCAAATTAAGAAATTAGTTTATTATGCGTTACGTTTTTGCACAGCACAATGTCGTAATGACTTTTGAAGTAGCCACTAATACAGAATTAACAACTTTCAAAAAATCGAAATAAAAAATCGATAGTAATATCGCATGTTACAGAATCGACGTGCTAGAAAGCTGAAATTATTCTTAGTTGTCTCCGGAACTTTCAAAAATATTTTTTATACGAGATGCAACTAATTACCCTACCCCACCTGATAATAAGTGTAAGTGCAGTCTAGTCGTAAAGATAGATGATGTGGCAGAATGTGTGCCGCTTCAGCTATCCTCACCTTGCCGGCCTGAACCCAATCCCCTACCCCGCGGAGCCCGGAACCCTACTCGCCAGCAGAAACATACATAACACTACCAAAATGTAGTGTTATTTAATTGTCTGTAAGGAGGAGGTTTCTTACCCAGACGGACTACCTCTTAAAAATTAAATTAACGCTCTACAAGATATTTATCTTTTTTTGTTTTATGTTGTATTTAAAAATTGACTTGTTTCCAGTGGTACCCTGAAGTGCGACATCATTGTCCGTCGACGCCCATTATCCTAGTGGGCACCAAGCTTGATCTTCGCGAAGACAAGGACACCATTGAGAAGCTAAAGGACAAGAAACTAGCGCCCATCACTTACCCACAGGTAAACTTAATTTAAATAACTTTTTTATGACCAATTCACATTATTCGGTTCCAATCCTATTACTGAAGAATATAAGAAGTTAGCCGCTAATGCCTTTATCGTTTTCGTTGCAGGGTCTCGGTATGGCGAAGGAGATTAACGCGGTGAAATATCTAGAATGTTCCGCACTCACGCAGAAAGGCTTGAAGACTGTCTTCGACGAGGCAATACGCGCCGTGCTCTGCCCCGTGCAGCCCATCCGGCCGAGGCGGAAATGCGTTCTGCTCTAAGGTGTAGTATATTATTTGAGTAGAGAAGGATGATATACTTTAATTTTGACGATTTTAGTACCACTCTGTGTTAAAAAGATTTGACCAAGTACAAAGAGAGAATGGTATTGACTGAGTGTTCCTAAATTATGTTAGGATTAGGCCATATTCTGTGTATTCTATCAACTTATCAACTGCGGATCATCAGCTTACTTATGAAACTGAATATTGCTAATTCTTTAGTAGATCGTTATTTAATATATTAAATAGAAGCAGAGCCAAATGAGATCCTTGTGCTACACCATATGAATTTTTCGTAGCTCTGATTGATAGGCGTTGATCACCATAAAAAGGACGGAACAATAAACCTAAAAGTAGATAATTTTCGCAGTATGAGAACCCATGAGGAACACGGTTAAAGATCTAGCTGAAATCGATGTCAAATTAAATTGTTTCTTAATTGAATGTGCCTGTAGATCTTGCACCAAAGGTAAGCTGACTCAATGATAGATGTTGTATGGGCAAACAAATTACTCAAATATTAAGACACATTTTGGTTGATATAATATTGGTCTTCAGATTCACATCTGTAAACTGGTGTCTATAAAAGTATGCGACAAATCGTTGGTCATTATTACCAATTTACTAACAGCACAACACTAAAAATATATTGATTCCCATCTGGCTCAATTCGTTTGAAGCAACTGCTCTTTAATGTTTTCAATAAAAACTATCTCCACTTGTCCCATAAGAAAAATGATTGAATATTATGTTAATATGTTATTGTAGGATCTTTTTTTAATGTGTTATGCGCAGATTTGTCACATTGCTTTAAGCCAGAATGCAAAAACATCGCCCCAAAATTTTACCTATCCAATTAGGGCTTCCAACCCCGCAGCCTATCTTTAATCTCGGTACTTGCGGGATTGCAAATTTTCGATCCCGCGGGATCCCGGTATTTGCGGGATCCCGCATAGAAATTAATGATATCAATTATTAAGCTAAATAAAACAACGAAATAATCAACGTATTTAAACTTTTATTATAGTTTACCTTTTAAATATTAAAATTACACATAAAAAAATAACATTGCACTTCTATAAGTTCTATTGAGATTAAAATCAACCTATGTTAAACAAACTGTAAGGAACTAAGGACCTCAATTATAAATTACTACAAATTATTAAAATATTAAATTTATTATTTGCTTTGACCAATATTTTGTTGAAAATGTTTGCGAAGAAAACATAACATGTCTAAGCGACACCTTAGACATGTTCAGCCAAACTATTACGAATTTTAGACGCAATATAACCAGCCGCCGAAAAAGCCCTTTCAGCTTCCACGCTAGTTGGCGGAATTCCTTTTAAGGCGTTGTACGCAAAGCATAGAAATTTGCCTATGGAGCCCCCAGATTCATAAAGAGTCATCTCTTTTTTTATGATGGACTCGAGTATGTTAGCCCGAGATGGCGACGGACATATGAGCTGGGATGCTGATGATATAGTCAACTCTAACTCCTGCTCGCGACGAGACGTTTAGCATGTGCCTTTTTGCAGTCCCGCAAATCCCGCGGGATCCCGCGCTCGTAATCCCGCTAGAAGCGGGACTGTAAAAAGGCGCGGGATCTCGGAATACCGGGATTGGAAGCCCTACATCCAATGTATTTATTAGTCCAACGGGTAAACATTTTAAACCGTTATTTCACTATCTTTTGTCTGACTTACGGATTTAACTATACATATAAGTAAGCCTATTTCCTCCAGTAAAATTATTTCTCAAAAACTTGTCTTTGGATTATTATTTCACGTTTCTAGTGCACACAACTCGTATAAATAAAGAAACGAATCGAAACGGACGTAAGACATTTTGTCTCTCTTGCACATTACTCCTGACACAATGCGTGACAGGGACAGAATATCTTGCGTGTTACTTTTCGATGCGTTACTTTTCTTTTTGAATCGTTCGTTGGAGTTATTTTATTAGTACGTTCGGTTCGCGATTATAGAAGTTAAGCAACTTTCTCAATAGCCACTCGGTCATAGTTGCTCAAATTTTCTCGAGCTCCTCCGTGCTTCGGAAGGCACGTCAAGCCGTTAGTTCTGTCTGCTACTGTAGTTGTTACTCACATCCGTACATTTCGTGTTTTCGCGGCACGTAACCCAGCGCTGAACAAAACGCGGAGGGGGTACTCTTAGTACGAGCTTAGAAAATTATCATAGTTTTCGTAATTGTAAATTATGTTTCTATGTCGATTTTGGTGAAAACTAACCAAATATAATTAAAATTTAAGAAGACGCGACGATTTGTATTGAGACGAAAACATCAAAAGCAGTACCCTTAGTACGAGTCCGAGAGAAAACTATCCCAGTTTTCGTAATTGTAAAACTCGTTCTAAGGGTACTGCGCATAGGTACAACTGCAGAGCCAATCAGCGCAACGCTCGCCCACCTCGTTTCCCCCCAAGACATCTTAATTTTTTACTTCTGCGCAATAACGGTCAGCGCCAGAGTTTCGAACCGCGACTTATATCTGTAATTGTTATCTCCTATCTACATTGGGTCCTCTTGGTAGGTCATTGCCCAATTTCCCAATGCCATCCATAGAGAAGGCTTGTGCCCCAGCAGTATAAACATTAATATGCTGATGATGATGATGAGAAATATTAACATTATGCATCTATTCCAGGTATTGTGGCCGTACAAAGAAGTGTTAACAGCGTAGCTTTCTAATATAGATCGCACCGGAGGTACGTCTCTGTCGCAGTTAGACGCGCGTGCAAGGACTGCAATAAGCATACATACGATGTTAATTTTTACTGTTAACGCATATTATTGTAACGTGGGTCGGTGTGAATGAGTCTTGTATGTAATCGCTTCGTAAGTTAACCTGTCACTGGCAGTTGTAATAACCTCTTTTTAGGGCTGTTTTATTGTCTATGGAATTGTCGCCCGCCAATTTTAAAAATGTAAAAGGTTGTCGCGAAGCTGTTGCCTCATTTATATTTTTTTTTTCTGTATCGAATGCCGGGTTTTAGTTTTTAAATCAATGTAAAGGTGGTTTTGCTAATGGAATTAACTTTTGTGCGATTTGTTTTTTATGTTGTGGTCGTAGTATATGCAAGCAAATGTCAGTGACTATGGAGTTTAACTCGATTTGGGTGCTCTCCTCTTGCAATTAATTCTGTTAATTACAATATTAAGTTACATTCCTACCTTGTTTTGGAGCCCATTTCTACGTTCGGTACCTAATTATTGTTTATTAACTCTTAAATAATCGATTAATATTTTTCATTGATTAATGTCGGTAATTTAAAAAAAATGGAATTGTTGAAATTTGTGTTAGGCAAAGATTATATTTTTCGATTTTAATTAAATATTGCTTAGTTTTTGTTCCCGATTGTTGTATTTCAATGTATATGTGTCTATAAGTACATTATTTGTTAAGAATGTGATTGTTACGCGACCGCGTAAAATGGGAACTTGGTTCATTGATAGTATTCTTTCACTAATATGCTGCTTGAGCTTCTGTCAAAGCGTTTTATTCTCATTTAAAATAATCAATTCATATATTTCAGTAAAAATATTTCTTCTGTACCGTTTGGTAAAAATACCGATTTACACAGTATGTATATGGTAATGTATGTCGCTACAGATGTACCTATAATTATGAAATGTGTACTAAAAAGTAGAGTTATTCAATGTACAAAATCACATGAATAAACAGTAACGTAATTCTGTAATTTTTATACCGAGCACTTGACAATTTCTGTATAAAGTATAGTAGGAAGTAAATATAAGAAAAACCCTTTTTATCATAACAACTTTTTATAGTGGCTGTACTTAGAAATTTCGATTGAATAAAACACGAGTGAGTGACTGTCTATTTCGGATAAGAATAGTCGGGTTAGATCGCCAATATTCATTAATCACTCTATTCTCAATTCTATATTGCTTTGATAGAAGCTAAAATCGCTGTGTAGAAGCGCCCGTGCAAGTGGATGCCCAACGCGTTACATACATATCGGTGAAAATAGCTAAGCTTAGTAAGGGTGTAACTGTTTGATTGTACGGCGATGATTTAATGGCACATTGTTAAACGATGATTAATTTTATGAACTACTTTTTAATGTTGAAATTTGATTTTCATGAATTTATAGAAATTTACAACCAAAAATGTAGGTACTTTATAATCAAAGCAATAGGTAATACTTTGATATTTGATATTAATACGTTTTTTTAATTCTAAAACACATTTTATGCCAGCAAATTAAAAAAGATGTGTCATTGAAAACTCGCCTCTAATGGAATGCTAATGATAACGATTGCAGACGGTGTTATTATTTGATAATTCTGTCGTCAATGGGTACTTTGAACCGCACAATTATAGCGTTATTAACCGACCGAATGGAGGAGGACACTGCTGTCTAACTTGATTCGTACGTACGATGTCCTCCGCGATTAGGTCGCGTATACTTAATTCGTGATCTGGGAGACTGAAATTGGTGTAATGCTAGCGGTCTTGAAATTTTTTCATTGAGCTTGTACATTTTTTGTAGGTAAACAGTTTCATACCAAGCTTCTGTACGTATCTATCTGTATATAGGTACCTACTATGAAATTTGTAGCAGAATATATTTTTTCAACATTCATCAATCTCCCAGCACACGACTTCATGGGAGACAATTGTCGCTGAAAATGTGATACCGGGTTTAGGCTTTAATTGACTATTTACTCACAAGGCCTTGCATATTACTTTCTACAAATGTGACTGACATAGTATAACGTTTCGACGAACCACGGTGGTTTTATTTTAAATTTAAATTATGGCACTAAGTTAATTACTGTCTAAATCCACTCCTAAAATATTGAAATAAAAAAAAACAATCTTAATGTAAGAATACGTGTAAGTTTGCGTTTAGGAGGTGCAATTGTTCTTGCTTAACACAATGTTATGTTGAAATCGAACGCAGTTCTGGTATAGTCGCAACTGCATGTGGAAATCCGTACTGCCGATTACTGCTTTAACTATAAGTACATAAAGGCTAAAATTCATAAATTTTTCCCACGTTCTGAACAGCTTTCGTAAACCGTTCACGCAAAATGCGACCTTATTCCTACGATCTATATGCAGAGTGTTAAATAACACCGCGACTTTATCAAAAACGCATTCAGCTTCCACGCTGCCATAGACATTTCTTTGTTTTATGGACAGTTGCAAATTTCCACTTCCATAATTTGAAAAAGCATTAGCAATTGCACTAAATATACAACATAGCCGTAAGATTTTAATGTATATGTATTGTTCAGATGCAAATATTTAGAAGAATCAGCATGTAAATAACATTAATTTTAGTATTAACTAAAGTATATAAGCCAACGCACCATTTTCCCTGGTGTTGCATTTTTTATATAATTAGACATCATTTTAGTGGGGTGATATGTGAAGGGGGATGCTCTAAAAGCATTTACACACCAGGATATGAAGGTACCGCGCCGGTTCTTAGAAAATTGTATATTCGTTTGTGTGCAAAATGAAAATGTATTTTATGTACCTGTGTGGCAATATGATAACACCTTGATCTGCTCCATTTTTGAGGTACAGTCGGTGGAAGTAGTATTTTCGATTATAGAGTATTTTCCAATTTTTTTAAAACTGATTGTATTTAAAGTTTGGGACAAACGATTTAACAGAAAAATAAATAGATGTCTTTTTTTATCCATTAAACCAATTAAAGTTGAATTTATTTTTAATGGTTTTGAATTTACCGCCAAAACGCTCGGTTCGATGACGTCTACTGTGTGATGTCAACTTTGTGTAAACAACAAGTAAAATCGAGCTAATCGGCTTTCAGAAACCGGGCTTCCATTGTGGAAAATAAGTAAAATCGAAATACTCTAACAAAGAAATCGTCAAATAATTACTCCGTAATCACAGATCGTCCACAGACTACATAGGTTTTAAAATTCTTTACACACAGTTGACGTCACACAGAGAGTATAGTTAGTCAGCTTTCAGAAACCCGGCTTCCATTGTGGAAAATAAGTAAAATCGAAATACTCTAACAAGGGAATCGTCAAAATAAATAATTACTCCGCAATCACAGATCGTCCACAGACTACATAGGTGTTAAAATACTTTACACAAAGTTGACGTCACACAGTAGACGTCATCGAACGAGCGTTTTGGCGGTAAATTCAAAACCATTAAAAGTAAATTCAACTTTAATTGGTCTAATAGTGAAAAAAAGACTCAAAAATTTGGAAAATACACTATTGTAATGTATGTACCCCAAGCACGAGCAATTATCGAGAATGTGTACATATCGCCATCGTCAGTTTCGATGGAAGGAGCTAGCTTGTTCCTACGTCCGGTAGAAGGCTCTGCTTAGTTTCCATAGCAACTCTGACGTTGGCGATACGAATACAGATCTGTCAAAATTCATGCTTGGGGTAATGGACTCTTAACCGAGATTAAGCGATTTATCGCCAAAAGGGAATCTATGCTAACTTTTAGCGACTGCATCTCGTCTCGTGTGGTGATTTTTAAATAAAGGTTTTTTATGTTCAATTGTCTTTTTATATTATAGGTTATTAAATAAAAACACGATTTAACTGTTAACAACTGACTAGTGATTTTGAATTATAACATGTAAAATTGATAATGATAAAGTTGGTTTGTTGTTTTCCAGTTCGATATTGTTTATGAGATATCAGACAACGTTAGTATAAAATATAGGAACTGCAATAATTTTGGCAAGGTTACTTGGTGTTTGTACTTCAATGCAATACAATTTATATTGAGATTGTTTGATCATTACCGAAACTTTGTTCATTCGCGTTTTGTTTTTTAATTTTAGTCTGGGATAATTAAGTAAAATTACATTCGGTAACAGTGTCACAAGAACGGGTATTTTTCCTGTAGCAATACACACGGAGCAAAGATCCTATTAGTGTCACAAAATATAAATCTAATCATCAGCACACGAGAATACAAAATTGGAATGTTTCCTATTTACTCACGTTTTTACTTATTGTATCTGTATGTATAATTAATTATTATTAATTAATTTCTATCGATGTATGAGGTAAACGATCGTTATTATGAATTGTATATTCCACTGTCCAGTTATTGAAACTTATAAATGTGTCTCGCTTTTATTTCGATAACAGTTTGTAATTTGCAAAATTATTATTTTATTGTACAGATAAATACACAGATGAAATTTGGATAGGAGTACCTACCTGTATGTCATTTCATTATTCGTTTCATAGTCGTGACGCTGCAGATAATTCTTCCAAATATTGCCTATAAAGCCTCTGAATAATTCAAAATATATTTATATTAACTGTTCAAAATGTTCGTTTTATTTATACCTTGTCGACCTTACCTAATCTATTTCACAGTTGGTAACAGATAATGTTATTTATCTTCTCGGGACTAACAGCCAGCAAAAATTATCAATGGTTGACGTTTTTACTTCGATAAAAATAATATGAAAATAGTGTGTATGTTGTTTATTGGTTATATCGCCTTTCAACCATCTATCTATATATATAAAACTGAAAGGTGACTGACTGACATAGTGATCTATCAACGCACAGCCCAAACCACTGGAGGGATCGGGCTGAAATTTGGCATGCAGGTAGATGTTATGACGTAGGCATCCGCTAAGACAGGATTTTGATCAATTCTACCCAAGGGGTAAAAATAGGGAATGAAAGTTTGTATGAAACTTTGTCAATTTTAAACCGATCGGGCTGACACTTTGCATGCAGGTAGAAGAAGAATCATAGATGAATGTCATTGTGTATAATACAAGCCTGAGAACAAAAACTGTAGTCTACACTTAAGCTCTACACCGAAGCGAAGCGAGGGTGGGCCGCTAGTTAATACCATAAGCGTAAAAAAACTACTGTTTTTTAACATAAAATTGTTAAATAATAAAAAAAGGAAAATTGAGTTTTTTTTTTTTTTGTTTCCTCCCAGGCGGGGGAGAGGGTGAGAAATCCTCATGGATACCCTACAGCCGGCTGTAAGGTTATGTCAGACTCTTACTGACTATAAAACACCCTTTATTCATGCTTATGGCCAGAAGGGCCTTACAAGCTTCATCTGAAGCGATCAACCCCCAAGAGGGGGAAGATGCGGCCTTCTAAGGCTCTATTTATACCACCGCGGAATGGAATGAAAGTGAATTTTTGCAACGAAATTGTGCATGGCATAATGAGCTTTATGTTATTGTAAAAACTGAATACGATCCAAAAGTCGCACGTCTTCTGCTGAATCCTCACGCATAACTTTGTTACATAAGATCTATTATGCTATGCACAATTTCGTTGCAAAAATTCGCTTCCATCCTATTCCGCGGCAGTATAAATTGAGCCTAAATGCAGCTACTCCGCATCATTAAATAATGCAGTTTATATATTTTCTACAGTTGTTATTTTTAAACTTTTAGCTTGCGGTTGCGGCCATAGAAACTGCTAAGTACACGAAATGTCTTATTATGAGAACACTATATTAATTAATAATGATTATGCGTAGATTTTAAGGGCAGTTTCCAAACTACCTTGTAACCACCTCATAACTAACTGAGGTACTTAGCCAGTGCTGAAGATTAACAAGTAACAACAATAAAGGTATGTAGTACATTCTGCAGCGGCCAGCGAAAGAGACATTGATGAACGAACGTTTCGCCTCGGCCCACGCCAAGTACTTTTCTCAAATAATGCACGGAAATTAAAACTAATTAATGAATTTTATATTTAAAATGCAATTACCTACTTTTTCAAGTCGTACAACGAATAAGGGGCCATCCATAAATTACGTCACACGTTAAGGGGAGGGAGGGGGTCGACGAAGTGTGACATCGTGTGACAAGGGGGTGGGAGGGGTCCTAAATTTCGTGACATCACATTTCAAAATCTATTATAATCTAAGTGTTGAAACTATTACTTTACGAAAACATTAACAACCCAAACGAGAACAAAGTGGTGCTATGCCAGTTATAAATAATTTAAAGGAGTTGGTTCAGTGTCCATGGACTTACGATTATTAAGTTTGTATCTTTAATTTAATTATAATGCTATTAATATTTTTTGTTTTGTTAATTTCTTTAATTAATGATGTCAATCGTTTTTTGTTTTGTTAATTTATTTAATTAACATAGTCAATTGTTTTTTGTTTGGTGATTTCTTTAATTAATATAATTAATCGTTTTTTCTTTTGTTAATTGTTTGATTTGATGTTAATATTATTAAAAAACAATTTAAATGGAAATAAAACTGATTTCAGAACCGTTGTTTTCATTCAATAATTTTTAAATGTAAATTTGCACAGTATGTGACGTCACACTAGGGAGGGGGGGAGTCTCACAAATGTGACTAGCTGTGACAAGGACGGGGGGAGGAGCCAAAAATCATGAAATTCGTGTGACGTAATTTATGGATGACCCCTAACAACACCAACATTCATTTGATTTTGTTTCAATAAATGGCTTTCTATTTGCAATCTAAATAAAACTTATGATAAGTTACCTCCTTGGTTGCCATGTTACGTAAAAGATCGTTTAATTTTCAAATAACAATAGATATGGAATTTCATACAACTCTTGCCGGCCGCTGCTCGCATGTATGTGACCAGTACAGCAATTTCGATTTATGCCAAAGAAGGTTGTCAAAATAATGCTTTCATTTCCAAGCATGTTTGAGAAAAACCCTTTTTAGTTGTTTTTATTTTTTAAGCATTTAACTGCTACATGTTTAAATCTAAAGAAAAGTATAAGTACTAGAAAAAAATCCACGCGGATCAGGCAGCAGACGGGACTCGAACCCGCACCCTTCGCTATCCGGGCGAATGCACTGACCATTATGCTACCGCGGCCCTGACGGCCGTGACGAATTTTCTCTAGCGCAGCAGCGCCATCTCATCTATAAAAACATTTTTTCATCCCACCACCTCGGAAAGTGTAATTTTGCGCTTCGAAATCTGGCTGGAAAATTCTATTTTATTCGCTTGAGCGGCAAAGTAGATTTGAATTTAGAACATCACATATAATGAGTACTCAATATAATTGTAAATTCAAAACGTCATTAAACCTATTTAATGTAACCTCTATGGTGCCAAATTTATGATTAGAACTTTTTAAATTGTGAAAAAATTTAAATTTGGAACCTTCTTGGTTTCTTTGTTTTATTTGCGTGCTTCGCGCCATTCTAGTTTTTCACGTTTTATTGCTTAATATAATTAACATAACCTAAAAACTGTACAAAAAAATCAACTAAAATGAGTGACATTAGCGACGATGAAGTTTATCTAACGCCAACTGAGTTAACTGAAACAGTTAATAATGCGCAAATGAGCCTTCTCCCTCAGCAATCACGAGAGAAGTATTTGAAACAGTACGATATATTTAACATGTGGCGACTAGCTAAAGGAGCAAAAACTTTCTCCGAAAACGTTTTGCTGGCATATTTTATAGAATTATCTGAGACCAAGAAAGCAAGCACGCTATGGAGTACGTATTCAATGCTAAAATTAACAATTAAGATGAAGAAAGACGTTCATATCGACACCTATCATAAATTAGTGGCATTTTTAAAAAGAGCCTCATCTGGTTATAAACCAAAAAAATCGAAGGTTTTCACAGCATCTGAAATTGCAAAGTTTATTAATGAAGCACCTGATTCCGTATATTTAGCGGCAAAAGTAAGTCAATACGTGTAATTTTTTGTTGTTGATAAAATTGTACATAGTACTTACAATATTTTTAATTTGATTAATTTATTTACGATTATAAATACTTCTTTTGTTACAGGTTGTTCTTATTATTGGTATAACCGGAGCATGTCGAACAAATGAACTTACACTACTTAATGTCAATAACGTATCAAAATATTCTCATAATTCTGATGAATTGCTATTAATTAATGTACTAAATACCAAGACAAAAAAAGACCGCAACTTCGTTATTCGCAAGGAATATGTAAACATTGTTCAGAAATATCAAGCTTTACGTCCTTCTAACACCCCAATTGAACGATTTTTTCTACAATATCGCAACGGAAAGTGTATCCGACAACCTATGGGTCAGAATAAAATTGGCAGTATTCCACGAGAAATAGCAACTTTTCTCGGACTTTTAGAACCCCCGTTATACACCGGTCACTGTTTTAGAAGAACCTCAGCCACACTTTTGGCCGAATCAGGGGCTGATCTTCTATCGCTTAAGCGCCATGGAGGCTGGAAGTCTAATTCGGTTGTAGAGGGATACATAGAGGATTCAATCCAAAGTAAATCAAAAATTTGTAATAGTATCGTGGAGGCCATAACGCTGAAAGAACCTCTGTCAGATTCTTGGTCTCGCCCTTCTACATCTAAAATGAGCCCCCATAAGATTGGAAACAATAGCCCTCTCTCGCCAACATTTACGCCAATAGAATCCAATGAATCGGCACAACTATTTAAAATTACTGATACGAGTAGTTTACCACAAAACAGCGCACAATTCACAAACACCAACATAACATTACCTAACAAAAATATTAAACTTAACATAAGTAACTGTAGCAACGTTACATTTAATATTTCTTAATTATTTTCTACTTCTTATTATTTTCTTCAATTTATAGATTATCTTAATGTGTTTTAATTGAAATAAAAATATTTTGTCATTATAAATTGTTTTCTTTTTCATTTTGTCATTTCCTCGCTGAGGTGGGATGAAAAGTTACGTATTGCACTCGAGTGGAAAGATTTTTCACCTTGTGCTCGTTTGTTTCCCTCGCTGACGCTCAGGATTCTAATTTAGAATCACTCGCTGCGCTCGTGATTCAACTTTAGAATCCTTCGCTTGCTCGGTCATCCAAATCGAGCACGCGGTTAAAAAGGAACTTTCCACTCTTGTATAATAAATAACTATTGTTTACGCGTAGATTTTGATTCGATGTTTATGTTCTATGGTAAAATCATAATCATCGAACTTTCCGTTCATAATACACACACATGTATTCTTATTGAGAGAATAACAAATGTTGCGTTACTTACGTTATTAGTAATCATCGTTATCTTCGCTAGCGGAGATAAGTGGAAAGGGACAGGCCGTGTGATGACTAAAAACGCGATTTTCATTCAGTCATCAATGTGGCGCTGCCAGTGAGCAGTCCACTGCGCAGACGTTTTATCGCAAACAAACCATTTTGATTCATAACGGCGCGCGACAGAGTCCAAATTCGCCATGGCTAGCGTACTTCTGAGTAAAGAGCTGCCCGATATCGAGGTCAGTGCATTCAAAAATATATGATCTGGATTACGCTTGTATTCCTTAATTGTTTCCAGTGCACTAAAGTGCACTTTGTCGTCGCACAGGAGTAAGTACAACAAAACATATGCAATTTATTTATATAAGACAGAAGAGTTATATATTTATGTCGATAGATGTTTAGACTGTCGATTTTCATCAAGGATAAATTCGTGGACTTGGTAAAATATAGGTATAAGCGAAACATTTAAGTGACTGAGTCAGTCATTTAATATACCAAGGTGATATATATATAAGTCATGGCCGGATTTGTAGGTGTGGGGGGTTGGAAGTCCTGGAACATCGAAGGTGTGGAGACCCCTAAATCTGGAATTACACTCCCCCTTTGTTTGGTGATCCAATGAAATTTGAAGTTATTGATCTACTCTGACGTTATAAATACCTACTTCAGTAGTTTGTTTTATCACTAACATCCGAGTCCGTTTTATATTATTTCTTGAGATACAAATATATCGTGTTTTGATAGCTCAAGGTCAGTTGACGTAAAGTGTTTTATTATTATGTTTAATATGTATGTACATTAACATAATTAAACACGATATTGGCAGATAAGACGATAAATGGTCGATTTTCTCAGTTTAATTAAAAAGTTGAGTACCACATGCCATAGTTGTTAGCACAATCGGAAGAATGAAACACTGACGCGAAGATTAATGAGGCCGATTGTCTTTGAATTAAGTAATTAAAGATAAAATATGTATTTATTACAAAATGTTTATAACATAACATATTCCATAAAACCGGTGATCCCAATTTCATTAGCATAACAGAAACAGCAATAGCATAGTACATTAAAACAAGAATGATAGTAAACAGACTATCTGCTTTTGTAAGATGCGCATGCAGTCATGATTTTGATAATAATACATTCCCTCTTCTCAATCAGATTCTAAAGTATGAATTCTATTTATGTATATAAATAAATAATAAATACTGCCATTATAGCTATTAACGGAGTTCTCCGTGATCATGGCGCTTGCAACAGTGCCGAAATATCGGAGACTCATAAAAAACAAAGAACATGGTAACAATCCCGTTAATCGCTATAATGTTAGTGACCATGACAGTTTAAAACTCTAATAAAAAAACAACAAACCAACTTGCCTTACAGAACTTGTTGAAATTGAACCCCACTGTGAAGCCCTATTCTAATCTGGTACCTTCAGCTCAAACGAAGAAGAATAAACAGCATTGGAAGAGGAACACTGACAGAAAATGCACAGTGAGTATATTTCGATTCATACTTATATTTTAGTTTCAAAGGAAGTTTAAGCTGATGCTTACTATTGATGGTAAAAAGCGGTAGTGAAGAAGACCTGCACTGAACATATTCCCCGAGCCGATAAACTTCAGTCACTGCCAAGGGCGTCATTTTTATTTAAAAGGAAGTTTAAGCTGATGTTGCTATATATGGTAGAAAGTGGTAGTTAGTGAAGCAGACCTTCATTCAGACCCCTCTTTCCCAGTGGGCACTTTGGGCAAGTGCCAAGGGCCCCGCCATCGATAGGTCGCGACCCTTAGATCAAATTCAAAGTCCCTTATTCCTGTCAAATCACCAAACGATGACCAATATTTATTACCAAAATACTTATATAATTGGATGAATCGGACCTAAATTACTGACTACAACACCAACTTACTAGCTTTTACATAAGCAAAGCTATTCTACTCTTGCCCAAAAATTTCACTTTCCGACTTCAGCATGCTTAAATAAATTTAAATATACATATAATGGTATACTAAGCACATACACATTTTAAAGAAAAATCATCAGTGTTAAGTACACTCATCAGTATGAATCGCTCCAGTCATAATTCATATCAAAGTCATAGGGGCCCCATTATCCTAATATCCTTCATTGAACTTGCAGGTGCATTATTTGGCAATTTTTTTATGTCTAGGGAAGCGGTAACCTAATTCAGAAAAGAACATCCATTGCATAGTAACTCTCATACCTTAAAGGTATGAGAGTTACTATGCAATGGACGTTCTATGTACTGAAAGCGATTGATTTCAAAATCTTAACCAAAATGGTTTAATTGGCATAACGCTCTATTATCTAGTTTACTGAAGAGTTGTTTGTTCCTACATCTTTTTTTATAAGGTTTTAATTACTTTTTTATTTATGAATTGTTATTCATCATCAAGTTGTTATATCATCATCAATTGATACAGACATGTCCTACTCTGGAGAAGAACTTCGAGGACATCAAACACACCACATTGTCGGAGCGTGGCGCCCTGAAAGAAGCTGCGCGCTGTTTGAAGTGCGCCGATGCACCCTGCCAGAAGTCTTGCCCTACGCAGATCGACGTGAAAAGCTTCATTACTAGCATTGCCAATAAGGTAACTATAGTTTTTTTTTATGTGTAACATCTTTCCTCTCGCTTTCCTGCATTTCGTGAAATGGGACGAAAGTGTGTAACAGGAAGTCGAGAAAGCGCGCGCTATTTGATTTAATTTTAGAACATAATGTTCAAATGGCTTATTCCTTTTGTAGTATTTTTTTTAAAGGCGAGGTTTCCAATGTTACATATCATACGCGACTACTGTAAGACTTGCTCGTTTTTTTTGAGCAGACAAACGAGCTGGCTATCCGTCTGATGGTACGTGGTAACTGACGCCCTACTTAATAACTAATTGACTTTATTTGTTAAGCTTCATGATTTTATCAGCGCAAAATAATAGAGTTCATATTTATTTCTTGATTCCATTCTATTTTCACGAAAAAAAAGTAGGTACTAAGTAAGAATCCCGCTTTTCTATCAAATAATAGGTACCTGAACGTCACAAACAAAGTTACATTATCGCTCATTATTTTACGTAGTATTGATGATTTAAGTAGGTAATCAAATTTTACAGTCATTTTTGCATTTTTTAAAAGGTATACCCGCCCTTTGAAGTCCACCATATTATTATAAGTAGTTCGTGTCTTTTAAAAGAGAATTTCGGAAAAAGATAAGCCCCTTTTCTTAAGTGCTTATCTGCATAGCAGTTTATTTTATCATCGTCTCGCTATCGTTGTGCTTTTTCTTTTAATCTAAGTGTGCTAGTAATAAAAAGTAACTTCCAGTTTATACAGATAAGCAACCTGTTATCATTTATTATCTGTTGCTATAATAATACCACTTACCTACCAGATTATCCAAGGCCAACATTTATAAATACCCATATTTTATGCTTATTTATTGTCTTCTTGTCTCTACAGGGGGAAAATGTTACACAGCCATCGCCATTTGCCGTTGTTGTTTAAGAATATTTTATAGCTAATGTATATATACGCTTGCCAAGCCTTGCCCCAGCTCCAATGTATCGTGGCCTTTGCTCAAGTTCCACTTATCGAAACCTGCCCCCCTAGCATGAGCACCGCGATATGATATATAACGCGTTTTTACCACGCTCAATTGTCAAATTACTATGGAATTTGACAGAGAGACGCGATTAAAAACGTGATATAATGAAAATTGGGATGGTCAGGCTACGGGGACTGGATCATCACGTCAATTACAACATTGGGTTTATATCCTTCACATCCTTGTGAGTTCATAAGATGGTTATTAAGCAAGTAAATAAAACAGTTCTTCTATATTAAGTCTAGAGACTACTTAGTAAATATACTTTAGAGTCTTATAATTAAGTGCAGTGGTGTCGATTCCGGCATGATTTTACATCAGTCTCTCCTCTTCATTTTATATAGATAATAATGATAAGGATGCACTGTTGTCTAAGTTTTGGTTTAGAGAATAATGCTAGAATCGATACAGTACATTTATAAAGAATTTTTTACTAGAAAAAAGTCCACTCGGCCCAAGTTTCGGTCCTGTGGTCAGGCGGAACCAGCGCCTTCCGTAGATGCTCTGAAACAGAGATTTTTGGTTTGGCCATGTCGAATTTTTCTCTTCGCATTTTAGTAAACCACAAAGTCGAACGAAATACATATACATTTCAAAGAAGAAATGGATGCTTGTTTCAGAATTACTATGGAGCAGCGAAGGCGATATTGTCGGACAATCCGCTAGGTCTGACGTGCGGGATGGTCTGTCCGACAAGCGACTTGTGCGTTGGCGGGTGCAACCTCCATGCCAGCGAAGAGGGCGCTATCAACATCGGCGGACTGCAACATTTTGCTGTCGATGTAAGATTTTTTTAAAAACTTCACCAATTAACCTAGTCCCAAAGTAAGCACCGAAAGCCCTGTGTTATGGAATACTATCTTTATATATATAAACACTATACCAGCTATCTTCGCGTTTGGTCTTTATCATCACTTAACATCAGGTAGGGTAGAGTTATTTGCTGACCTTGCTATAAAAAACAACCAAAAAATACTGGGGTAACGGATAGAATACGTTACAAGGATACATATGTAGGTATATTTTATTTAGAAATACATATAGACATCCATGACATAGATGCTCTTATTCATCATATTAACTTTTTCCCACGAGGATTCGACCTCACGATTAGGCGACACCATCAAACCCGGCATACATATCACTCGGCCACGGATGTCGTCAAAGTCGGTTGTCGATCTCTGAGTGCGCCAGAATTTTTACATATAAAGACAGTCATACTAGACACACCGCCTTGTTCGCTTTAGGACAAACTACGTCTTCTCCATTTTAACACGTCTGTACAATTTCTTCTACAAAGCGAAACTGTGTCCCTGCTTTAAAGCGAATCTGTCCTAAATCCAACAAAGGATAACAACAATAGTAATAGATCGATCCTGAATTGATTTTCCTATTTCATACCCCAATTCGACAGGAATATACCTGAATAGTCTGTCTGATTAGGGTATGAAAAATTATACTTATATAATGAGGAAATATTGTTTTTCATTTCAGTACAGACCATTTTATAACTTTTAGACCCTCAATCAAGCCAGTTAGTACTTAATATTTCTGTCATCTGTAATTTTAACCATTCAGGTTTTCATGAAAATGGGCATTCCTCAAAGTCTGGACCCGAATACGAAGCCTCTGCCAATGGGAGGAGACCAGAAAATAGCGTTGATAGGGGGAGGGCCCGCCAGCATCAGTTGTGCCTGTTTCTTGGCCCGGCTCGGCTATAAGGACATCACTGTTTACGAGAAGGAGAACTACCTAGGTGGACTAAGGTATTATTATTTAAACTGATATTTTAAGAAAATTGTACTAGGACAAAATCCAACATAAACATCTAGCAGTTAAATACTTAAAAAAATATTACTATAATTGCTATTTCTTTTTTTATATGTTTAATACTTGTAAAGGTATTCATTTGACATTGTGGGTTTCCTACAATGCGAAGCGAAGGGTGCGGGTACGAGTCCCGTCTGCTGCCTTGTCCGGGTGGATTTTTTTTCTTTAGATTTAAAAATCAAGTAGCGTCAACATTTAACTTAGATATTTGTATATTCGTAAAATATAATTAATTTGTATATTATTTGTCAAGTTCTTCAGAAATACCACAATACCGTCTCCCATACGACGTGGTGCAGTACGAAGTGGACCTTGTCAAAAACCTTGGCGTCAAATTCCTCACAGGCAGAATACTAGCCACCCAAGATTTAACTGTGCAAGTAAGTGAATGTCAATTTGATAAACTGCTGATATTAGGCTCTTGTGTTATATTGTAAAACCGGTTGCAGTTGAAGCAACGGCAGTGGCTGCCTTGAAGTAGGTATTCATGTTACCGGTTTTTAGTCCTAGGTCTTTCGCTATAGATTTGAAAAGCATAATGTACATACTTTTCGACTTTCATAACTGCTTTTAACAGCTTATTAATGGACTGAATTAATAGCCCAACAAGTACCTTGTTTACACCGAAATTACCTAAATAAGTTTATTAAAGATAGAAAAATAATCTTTTATTTTTCTAAAGCAAAATTGTTTCCCAGGGTCTTCTTGAAGATGGCCACGCAGCAGTTTTCCTTGGCATCGGACTTCCGGAACCCAAGAGCGTGCCTATATTCAAGGGACTTACACAGGAAATGGGTTTCTATACGAGCAAAGATTTCCTACCTCTTGTTTCTAAGGGAAGCAAAAAAGGTGATCAAATTTTTAAGTTATTAGACATTCGCCACTCGTTTGTAATAACCAACTTACTGCACTAATATCATAAATTACTATTTCAACACACTTGTTCAAAAATGAAATTACGGAGGTTGTATACATTCAACCGCACGCACCCACACATGGCGCCGGGCGTATTCTTTAGTTTCTTTTTTAATTTCCGTTGAATCTCACTAGTTGCGCGTGGAAGACACAAATTTTGACAAATGGTCTCTTGTCACTAAAAGGTTGTTAAAAACTACTGTTCTATGGTAAGGTTACTCTACTCCGAGCCGTGTCCATGTTGCTCTTAGGCGGCCTTTTAGACCTCAGGTTATGACTGATGGATAACCCTCAGAACCTGTTTGACAGTTAGAATTGACTGACACCTGCGTAAACGTCTAATGGATGCCTATGGTTAATGGTTTCCAGGTATGTGCGTTTGCAAGACGTCGTTGCCTGAACTATATGGCAACGTGATAGTGCTAGGAGCCGGCGACACGGCTTTCGACTGCGCAACTTCAGCCCTCCGCTGCGGCGCAAGGAGAGTGTTTGTGGTCTTCAGGAAAGGATTTAGCAACATCAGAGCTGTGCCCGAAGAGGTAATAACTGGTTTTTCCTCAAAATTTTATTTACATTAGAAACGAGAGATTTTTCTTCAACAAAATTTACTTTAGAATCCAGTTGCGTCACTTCAGCCTTCCGCTGTGGCACGAGGACACTGTTTGTGGTCTTCAGAACAGGATTTAGTAACATCAGAGCTGTGCCCGAAGTGGTGATATTTTTTTCTGTAATTTTTACGTTAGTTTAGAATCCAGATGCGTCACTTCAGCCCTCTGCTGCTTCTCTAGAAGAGTGTTCGTGGTCTTCAGGAAAGGATTCAGCAACATCAAATCGGTGTCCGAAGAGGTAACAATTGATTTTCCCACAAAGTTTTCTTAGACTAAAAACTAGGTGCGTCACTTTAGCCCTCCGCTGCTTATCGATTTTGAAAATAAAAAGTGGAGGTTTCAGTGTCCATTTATGGAGTGAATTGTTGGAATGAAACGACCTTATAAAGACCACACGCCCCGATCGGGGCGCGCTCGATAAATACCGCACGGTCGTCAGCGCACGCCCCGATCGGGGCGCGCTACCCACGGTACTATAAAGCCGTTTTTTGTGATAGTTATAGCCTACTTTTGTGTTAAAAAGTTTAACCATAGATTAACTTGGCGAAATGACCTATATATAGAGCCGTAAAGTTTAAATAGCCCGCATGAATTTAAAGTTTAAAACCCCAAGCAGTTGTGCAGTTTCCTAAGTACCTATGTTAACACTTATTACTATGCGAGACAAACTTGATTATAATTACCTACCACTTCTGTATGTCTTAAGAAGGACAGGGAAAACATTTTCGCGTCCATTTGTTTTCTCTATAAGAATAGGAATGACCTTAATGTTCAGTTTCATCAGTACCTACCTTGTCAATGCTAAATTGAATTCAGGCTCTTGTTTATTTTGTTTTAGGTGGACTTGGCAAAGGAAGAAAAGTGTGAATTCATGCCATTTATGTCCCCTCAAGAAGTCATTGTAAAAGACGGGAGAGTAAGTATTGCATATTACGCTTGTTTTGGGGAATTTGGGAAAAAAGTCAAAGCTTCCCATTGAGTCTAACCAGTAATTTATACAAATACCCTCAGAGTAAACTTTTCTTGTTTGCAGATAGTAGCATTAAAACTATGTCGTACAGAACAACTCGAGGACGGCGAATGGATAGAGGACACTGAACAAATAATGCAATTGAAAGCGAACTTTATCATATCAGCCTTCGGATCGGGACTGTATGACACTGATGGTAAGATTTCCATATTTCTTTGTCATATTTCGTTCCTAAACTGTTACATACTCATTTTAAAAAATCTGTATTACCGGTCAACAACACCTACCTACATTTTCAACATTAACTTTTTCCATATTGTTCAAAATGAACACTTTCCTGGCGTTATATTTTTGACTGCACCTTTACACAATTTTAACATTTTGCATGTTAATTAGAAATTTTCTTTTTGTTAGTGGGAATGTTGTAGTCATGTGTAAAATGGTCCTTCGAGCTGGATTCTTATTGATTATTTATATTTGTCAACATAGTAAGACTTTGTACTGAAAATATTAAAGTTAACGTAATTTTGCAGTGAAAGAGGCGATGTCGGGTATCAAACTCAACCGCTGGGGCTTGCCCGAGGTCGACGAGACCACCATGCAAAGCAGAAGCAACCCGAAAGTGTTCGTTGGCGGAGACTTGGCCGGGGTCGCGGAGACCACTGTCGAATCGGTGAACGACGGCAAAACAGCTGCGTGGTACATGCACTGCTTTTTACAGGTAATTTGACGACCTCCGTGGCAGAGTGGTTTGTACGCCGGGTTTCAAGGTGTCACCTACTCGAGAGGTCCCGGGTTCGAATCCCGGTGGCGGCAGATGTTTGTGTGATGAATACGAGCATTGGTACTCTAGTCATAAATGTTTAATATGTATTTCTATATAAATTCACTTATATCTGTATCAGTATATGTATTCTATCCGTTACCCTAGTATCCCATAACATAAGCCTATAGTGCTTACTTTGGGGCTAGGCTAATTGGTGTATTGGAAATATTATTTATTTATTTGTCATTTTGTACTTAGTTATCTTATGATATCGAATCTAACTGCAACACAATTTTCCGGCAAGATTCAGTGATAATTTTGAAATGAAAAATGGAAAATTAAACATCTAATATTGTATAAAGAGAGGTTGGATTCTGAAAATTAACACAGACAGAATAATTAAGGCCGCACATAGAGACTGCCGCATTCTTAGAAATAAACATAAAATAAAACAACACACACATCACTTTAACTAAATCGATAGCGCTGAGTGTAATAACTTAAGTCTGACCATCAATCAACACAAAATACAATGCAATTCAACTGATCACACACACCCCAAGTATTCTTTTAAAAAAATATTCAATCTACAGTTTTGACTTTCTTACCATTTTATTATATGTATAGATGATAAGAATAAACTGTTGTAAAGTTTACAAATAGAAAATTAAAAAAACTGATCTGATAGATAAGCTGTCGTACAACCCCGTGTGCTGTATTATTACATAACAATATTTGCTCCTCAGGGCCTATCATTCGACTCGCCCATCGAACTACCCAAGTTCCACTGCCCCATTGACGACGTAGATCTATCAGTAGAAGTGTGCGGCATCAGATTCCAGAACCCATTCGGTCTCGCATCAGCCCCACCCACTACGAGTGCTGCCATGATCCGGCGCGCCTTTCAGCAAGGCTGGGGTTTTGCTGTCACCAAGACATTCGGATTGGACAAGGTAAATACGTCAAACTAGTCCAATAGGTTACTAAGGATTTCCCCAGCGAAGTAGGGGTGCCACCATGATCCGCCACGCCTTCCAGTAAGGCTGGGGCATTGCTGACAACAAGACATTCTGATTAGACAAGGTATATATGTCAAACTATTCTTTTGAATAATTATTTTGATTTAAGTTGCAATCGTTCGGTCTCGGCCCCGTGATCCGCTGCGACTTCCACCAAGAGTGGGGATTTGCTGTCACAAAGACTTACGGTTTGGACAAGGTAAATATGTCAAACTAGCCTATCGACTAATGAATGAGATGGACTATTTAGAACCACCACGAGTGCCACCATGATCCGCCGCAACTTCCAGCAAGGCTTTGGGGCATTTGCTGTCACTCAGTCATTCTGTTTGGACAAGGTAGGTACGCCAACCTAGTTTAACAATAACAACTAATAAATGAAATAGGCCATTTAGAACTACCACGTGTACCGCCATACCGAAAGGGCTTTGTTTTCTGTCACCAAGGCGTTCGGTTAAGACAATGTAAATATTTACTTCAAATTAGTCTCCAGTACCCGTGGAATACGATTAAGATATATATAAGATTCAAATGTTCGGTCTCGTCATCATGATCCGGCGGGCTTTCCAGCAAGGCTGGGGCTTTTCTGTCCCCAAGACAATACGTTTACACAAGATAAATGCATCGATCTCTACCTTCAGTTTCGTTATAATTCGCTGCGCCTTCCATTCGGCTTAATATGCCAAACTAATGTTACTGCTATAACAATTTTCAGTAACCTATTCTTAGTAAGAGATTTTGCCTTAGAACTTAGTGGTTGTATAAATTTATTTATTAGTAAGTTCAGTTCATAAATATAGCTAAAAATGAAACCGAATCCTCATATTTTACTGGAGATTATAATTATCAGCGTTATCAATAGTCTTACGATGCCCACAACTGGATAAAGGACTCGCCCAAAGATATTGACACTTTATCCTAAGCTGTCTGCAGCGACTTTCCTTTAATAAATCGTTGGTCCACTTGGTGGGGAGCCTGCCTACTGAGCTACTGTTACTATTAAAAGATTTAAAAAATCCGGACATAAACCAAAACTTTGTTTATAAAAGTCCGATTCACAATGGTGTCGATTTTAGCATGATTCCCTAAACTTAAAACTTAATTTAACATCAGGCCCTCCTTTTCATTCTGTATAGGGAATGACAATGATATACTGTTGTCAAAGGAGATTGCTCAGCTTCCATACATGTTTGGCCTAAAGACCAATAATCATGAAAAATTGTTTCCTAGATTCGAAATTATGTATAAATTACTGTAGAAACGAATATTATTGACGGACACCCCTGAGAACTTCTATAAACCATATACACTGAACATATTAAAATAATATAAAACAAATAAGTTATATAGTAAACTAGGGAAATCAAGCCAAGTACCGAAATTATGGATTAGATTCAGGTATAAAGAGCATGTAGATTAACAGATAGTTGCCTGTTTTTAAAGTTAATGCATAAGAGTAACTTTTAAAATCAGGTGTCATTTCCGGTTATAATATGGTACTCTGTGACAGAAACTGTGTGATGATTGTGAATGAGCCACAGATTAGAGAGAATTTTTAAACTCTCGTTAACCAAAGAAAGCTAAGAGATTTAGGTTCTATAGCCATATATTCAGTAGCTTCATTATTTTTGTTATGTTTTTAAGATGAAATGATGAAAGACCATATTTTAGATTTTTAGTGTATCACGCCTTATAATGTTATTTATTTATTAATTTATAGTCAGGGAACGTAGGCGCATAGATAGATACCTTAAAGTCTAACATATATACAGATTATAATGTGTTTATGGAGGTGTTTGGCGAAAAATGTATGGCAATAGACTTTATGATGTCGCCTACCATCTATAATAATTGTCTGAGCACATTTGCATCTAGTGAAAATGATAATATAGTTGTGGATATTAATACCACAGTGCAGTGTAATAAAAAAAAATGATATATTTTATTGATCTTTACAAAATAGATTTGTTTTTAGATATAAACAACTTCGATCAGTCTTTGGCTGAATGTTACTACACCCATAGCCATTAAAAATGATTCGTATGTTTTCCAAACCGGTAAAATTAAAAGTCCTTTTTAAAGTAAATATATTATACAAAGGTGTCCGTTGAAATCTAATGACTGTAAATTAAATTATAAATTACGCCAAAAAATACCATGTATGTCAATATTTTTTGTGCATTTAGGCCAATTTGAGCAATCTCCTTTAATTTTAGGTTTAGAGAATCATACCAGAATCGACACCAATGTTTGTGTTATGTACAGGATTTAGTGACGAACGTATCGCCTCGCATCGTTCGCGGCGTGACGTCGGGAGAGACGTACGGCCCCGGCCAGGGCTCGTTCCTCAACATCGAGCTCATCTCCGAGAAGTGCGAAGCCTACTGGTGTAAGAGCATCGAGGAACTCAAACGAGACTTCCCGGAGAAGGTATTTTTTATCACGTTATTTTCTAAAGATGGAGAACTAAATAAACTTAATATTTATAACTCTTAGTACCTACTAATTCCTTAATTTCAACGACCACGCTGAGCATAGAAACATTGTTAACAGGTGGTGATTGCATCAATAATGTGTTCGTACAACGAAGCGGATTGGACTGAGCTGTCGCGGAAGGCCGAAGCTGCGGGAGCGGACGCGTTGGAGCTCAACCTGTCGTGCCCTCACGGCATGGGCGAGTCGGGGATGGGGCTGGCGTGCGGTCAAGTGAGCTGTACTATAATAATACTGTGTGACATAATGTGGCCGTACAACGAATCGGCGGAGCGGACACGTTAGAGTTCATCCTGTCGTGCTCTCACGGCATAAGTGAGGAAGGGATGGGGCTGGCGTGCGGTGAACTGAGCTGTACTATAATAATACTGTGTGACATAATGTGGCCGTACAACGAAGCGGTGGAGCGGACGCGCTAGAGCTCAACCTGTCCTGCCCTCATGGCATGGGCAGGTCGGGGATCTTTAATATAATAGTGTGTCCACGGTTATGCCTTAAATTCGGTCCTGCCAGTGCACATAATATGTTCGTATATCGGAGCGGTGGAGCGGACGCGTAAAAATCATAATATTTTTGATACTTCTATAACTGGGACGGCCCTAGGGTATAGATGGTGGGGTGGTTGCTCTAGCCGCCATAAAACCAAAACCTAGAAACATTAGAGAGAAAATAAAAACGTGCAGTGAAAGCTCTGACCAATCGCTGAAAGAAAATCTCGATGTACCCTCATCAACGGCTTCGGCCGTTCCAGCGTCTTATATAAGCCCTGTGCATTATAGCCCCCTAATAAATATACAATTCAGTATTTATTACAGTTTACAAGGTTGTAGTATTTTCCTAATTTAAATTAAGTTCGATCAAGGAAATTATACAACGGTTACCATGTTAACACCATAGATATATTAAGTAGGTACCTATTTGACTCTCTTGGGTCTTTCTGTAGATATCCATCAGGCACACTTCCTCTAAAGCACCTAGCTGAAGTATTCCTTATTTACCTTGCTTACTCTTTACAGGATCCAGTTCTAGTGAAGGGAATTTCGCAATGGGTGAGAAAAGCCATCAAGATTCCATTCTTCGTGAAGCTCACACCTAACATTACCGACATTGTTTCGATAGCCACGGCGGCATATGAAGGTAAAATATGTACCAATTTTACTTTTATGAGTTTTATTATACAGTTATACATACAATTACACATACATATAGTTCATATTTAATTACCTGCTGCCCGCGACTTCGTACGCGTGGAGTTAGTTAGAAATAAAGATTCACTGCTCGTTATCCGTAGGTGATAGCGTGATAATATGTAGCCTATATATTGACCCGACTTCTTAATAATATTCGTGCCAAATTTGAAGTAAATCCATGCAGTACTTTTTGAGTTTATCCCGGACATACATACAGATAAAAAAAATAAAAGCTATATTTTTGGCTTCGGTATCGATTGTAGACCACACCCCAATTATTCTTTTAAAAAAATATTCAATGTACAGTTTTGACATTCCTACCAGTTTATTATATGTATAGATAAATAAATTATTATAAATTAATTTTAATCATATTTAAACTAATACCTAAAAATGAAATTTCTATTTGAATTTTCATGAAATAAGTAGGTACTCAACCAAATTTCTTTTACAGGTGGAGCGAGTGGAGTTTCTGCTATCAACACAGTCTCCGGATTGATGTCAGTCAAGTCAGATGCAACCCCATGGCCAGCAGTCGGTGAGTCAAAATTTCAAACACTGTCGGAGCTGAGTAGTCAAAGGTGCTAAAAAAACCAGCGTGACAGGATATCACCATTGAAAAAAATCTGTAATTTACCAACTGGCTTCTTATAAATTTACGACCTCCGTGGCATGTTCGCCGGGTTTCAAGGTGTTGCCTACTTGAGAGCTCCCGGGTTCAAATCCCGGTGGGGGCAAATATAAGTATACGAATACGAGCATTTGTACGTTAGTCATGGTTTGTATATATTTCTATATACAAATATACTTATGTATCATGTAAAATTATATATATTCTACCCGTTACGATAATATCCCATAGCAAGCCTTACAGTGCTTACTTTGGGGATAGACTAATGAGGGCTATCGCGTATGAATCCGCCGCTAGAGGCGCTAGTGTAGCGTGAGGTCTCCGAAATGTCAAATGTTATAGCTTGTTGGTTGACTACGCGGGTTTATTTCTAATTAAAATAATGTTGTGAATAATTGGTAACAATTCGGCTTAATTATGGCAAATATGAGTTATGTAGCAATGAATGTCAGTTATTAAAAATCTGAGCTAAGAAAAATGATTATGTTATCATTTTTTCCGAATAAAACGGAACTGCGCGTCAATGTGGCATGGCCTATTATGTTTAGGATCCGGTTCTTTTGTGTTAAAATACGATCTAAATGTAACCGTTGATTTCATGTGCGTATTAATAAACTTTAAAAGTTACAATTTAGGACCTCACTCAACAGTGGCGCCATCTGGTGAGACAGAAAACGGTAGCCCTCATTGACGTAAGTGTAGGAAATATTATTTATTTATTTATTATAAATACAGTTTGCACTATGGTAAACTAAAGTCGAGTATTATGCAAGTTCAGCAACCAAAATTTGAGCTCCTTACACAAAAAAAAAGGAGAATTTGGATCCCGGGAGAAGATCATCGGGCGGAGTAGAGAGAACCCGGGATCTCAAAGGATCCAGTACGTTGATTCTGTACCATGCAATCTCACTTTCGATTGTGTTAATACATTTTTTTAGTATTGGTAAATATTTATTATTCGAGCGCTCAGGCCCCCAAAGAAATTTCCAGTATAGCTCTTTCCATAACTCGCTGAGCCGATAATGATGTTATATGAAAACTTTCTTCAGAGTTCATTTTCTTTAAACCCACATCAGGAGTAGAGAAACGCACCACATACGGCGGTGTATCCGGTAACGCGACACGGCCTATGGGTCTGCGTGCAGTCTCTGAGGTGGGCAACAAGCTGCCCGGGTTCCCCATACTGGGCATCGGCGGCATCGACTCTGCTGACAGCGCGCTGCAGTTCATACTGTGCGGCGCGCCCGTCGTACAGGTAACCGATGCTGGGCACAGATGCATTATCCTTGTCTCTACGTAGAGTGGTGTGTTATAATGTGGTGGTCTAAAGGCCTGCGTGCGATCTCAACAAGCTGCCCGGGTTCCCCATACTGGGCATCGGCGGCATCGACTCCGCTGACAGTGCGCTACAGTTCATACTGTGCGGCGCGCCCGTCGTACAGGTAACTGATGCTGGGAACAGATGCATTATCCTTGTCACTACGTAGAGTGGTATGTTATAATGCGAGGCGGTCTATAGGCCTGCGTGCGATCTCAACAAGCTGCCCGGGTTCCCCATACTGGGCACCGGCGGCATCGACGCCGCTGACAGCGCGCTGCAGTTCATATTGTGCGGCGTGCCGGTCGTACAGGTAACTGATGCTGGGAACATATGCATTATCCTTGTCACTACGTAGAGTGGTGTGTTATAATGCGAGGAGGTCTCAACAAGGTGCCCTGATTCTCCATACTGGGCATCGGCGTCATCGACTCCGCTGACAGCGCGCTGCAGTTCATACTGTGCGACGCGCCCGTCGTACAGGTAACTGATGCTGGGAACAGATGCATTATCCTTGTCACTACGTAGAGTGGTGTGTTATAATGCGAGGCGGTCTATAGGCCTACGTGCGATCTTAACAAGCTGCCCGGATTCCCCATACTGGGCATAGGCGGTATCGACTCCGCTGACAGCGCGCTGCAGTTCATACTGTGCGGCGCGCCCGTCGTACAGGTAACTGATGCTGGGAACAGATGCATTATCCTTGTCACTACTTAGAGTGGTGTGTTATAATGCGAGGCGGTCTATAGGCCTGTGTGCGATCTCAACAAGCTGCCCGGGTTCCCCATACTGGGCACCGGCGGCATCGACGCCGCTGACAGCGCGCTGCAGTTCATATTGTGCGGCGCGCTGGTCGTACAGGTAACTGATGCTGGAAACAGATGCCATATCCTTGTCACTACGTAGAGTGGTGTGTTATAATACGAGGCGGTCTATAGGCCTGCGTGCGATCTCAACAAGCTGCCCGGGTTCTCCATACTGGGCACCGGCGGCATCGACTCCGCTGACAGCGCGCTGCAATTCATATTGTGCGGCACGCCGGTCGTACAGGTAACTGATGCTGGGAACAGATGCATTATCCTTGTCACTACGTAGAGTGGTGTGTTATAATGCGAAGCGGTCCATAGGCCTGCGTTAGGTCTCTGCTGTGGGCAACAAGCTGCTCGGGTTTCCAGACTGGGCATCGGCGGCGTCGACTTCGCTGATAGCGCGCTAATCGTACTAGTAACTAATGGCAGAAACTGATGAATAACTAATTGTCATGGATCATCATCCTGTTGATGTCCCCGCTGGTTCACAAGTCCATATGAATGGAATAGGGAGAATGATCTATGACACATCACGCTCACCCAACGCGGATTGTTGAGTGCTAACCACAGAACACAGAAAGAGGTTAAAAGGGTGATCATAGACCGTTTGTACGGGAACCGATGTCGCCGGCTCGCCCCCACTACACTTCCACCTAATAGATCCAATCAAACGACGCGACATCAAACAATCGAACCAATCAGCGCTCACACCCGAGAGCAACGACGCAATCAGGATAAAGTTTTGGTCAAGTTATGAGCATTTGCTCACACATATCTGTGGCACACCTGCCCCGCCCATAAGCCTTCTGACCTCTTTCTGTGTTCTGTGGTGCTAACGACTGCAGATGCAGCTGGGACCAATGGCTTTACGTGGCTGCCGAAGCAAGGAAGAGCTCGAGGTAATAAGTTTTTGGACACCTATCGAATGACCAGCCATTACGAAAGTTGCATAAGCAAGGTTCGTATTGTAAAGAAAAGACCAACAGTTGTCCTATAAAAAAGTTTCGACATTGTTTGGAGCCATGTTTAGAAAAATGTTGTACCTACTTATGTAAGCTTTTTATAAATTATTGTTGAACATTTGTGGTAATACGGCACGTGGCTTTCCCTTCCAGCCCTCTTTTTTACATTTAAGCAGGCAAACGTTTTGATTTATAGATATGCAGTGCCGTGCAGAACCAAGACTTTACTGTGGTCGAAGACTACATAACCGGTCTGAAAGCTCTCTTATACATACGATCTATGGGTCTGGACGGATGGTCGGGCCAGTCGCCGCCAACTTTCAAGCACCAGAAAGGCAAGCCTGTGCAGACCCTCTACGATAGCAACGGCAAGGTAATTAGAGAAGATCATCATTTATTTAGAACAAGCTGTGCCCTGCAGTGTTACCCGCGGTTTATTAAGGATATTTTCCGCAGTAAAACGTAGCCTATGTATGTGTTAATCCAGGGTATCATCTAACTCCATACCAAAATTTATTAACATCGCTCCAGCAGTTTAGACGTCAAGAAGTAACAAACGTACACGCACGCACACACAAACACTCACAAACTTTCCACAGCTAGCCTATTCCCTAACTAACTAAACTAACTAAAGAGAAAATCGCAAATACAATGATGCTTTGAAGTACAAATCATCTTAATGGCGTAGCTGTATAGGATCACTAAATAGCTCGGTGATTATCACTTCCATCACCTGACAAAATCAGTTAACGAATAGGCCTACAGAGCAGATTAGTGGGTATTAACTGTAGATGCAGTCGGAACCAAAGGCTTAACTTGCCTTACGAAGAACGGTGGAAAAATTATTCCTTAATATACATTGTTTCTAAAAGTCCAAACTAAAAAGGACCTTGTAGGTCTTTGACTAAGTATTTGTTGGTGTATGTATGCACCAATGGAATCGGTTCAGCAATTTAGGTGAAAAAATGTTACAAACAAAGGTTTGTGCTATAACCTTGGTTACGTTCTCAGAAATTAGGCACACATAATAGTCGTAGTATATAATGCCGGTACTGGTGCAGGAATCAGAAATGTTTGTTTGTAACTACTTCCATCTAAACAACACAAAATAGTTTTATCAAAACGCGTAAAACAGTAAACAACATATTATATAATAAAATTTTTCTTTCCTCCTTAAAGGTTCTAGCTCACTTTGGTCCTTACGTCAAAAAACGCGAAGAGATCCTTCACGAGAAACGACTGAAGTCGGACATTCTCGGCAACAACAAAGTGGATAGTCCTTTCGAAGCGAACGACATCGTCGACCAAGTGCCAAGAATAAAGGACGTTGTAGGTGCAGCCCTACCTAGGATAGGAGCTTACAAGAACTTAGATAACACCAAGCAAGTAGTCGCGCTCATTGACGATGTGAGTTTACCTTGATATTTAGGCAGATTTTAAACTATTGCGGATTAGCGTGGCCTCATTCATTCTGAAAACTTTACTGTATAGTAATTTTTCGAATTCTAAGGTTCAAGGGCAAAGGTTTCTATTTCCCCCTACCGCCTTACTATTTTCAGTATTCATACACTCGGTTATAATGCTTATTGAACGACCTTTTCGGATATTTCATTATTAAAGATAGTGTGCATTCCAGTTCTTTCATTATACACTAGACAGGGATAACATACCTAAGTCTATGAACATGCAAAAGGCAAATTATTTTATTGTTGTATTTTTTTCAGGATATGTGCATTAACTGTGGAAAATGTTACATGGCATGCGCGGATTCCGGTTACCAAGCGATTGAGTAAGTATAAAAGAAAATTTGATGACTTCATCTTTTAAGAACGATTGGGATGTCGTTGGCCATCTCAGGTTCATATAACACTTACCCCAAAGTAAGCACTGTAAAAGGCTTGTGATATTGTTAGTCAGGTTAATGTTGATAATTTTTTCTTGTCTATACGTTTTGATGTTGTGTTGGTGTTATTTTTGAGTCTCATATTGCAATCGTACAATTTTATTATTCAGTTCATCCTGACCAGGGCATTGGACCCTACGCTAACACCGTTATCCCCAAGCCCGGTTATAGTGTACAGTCCTCTAATTATCTAAGGTTCCTACTCATACTGATACCTTTTACAAACTTCAACGAAAAATTACACTTTAAATTTGGAGTAACTTTCTTTGGAATGTTAAGTTAGGCGCACCGCATACCGGGAGAGGCGCGGCGAAGATACTAAGAAGTTAAAAAAATAAGTTAAACCCTAATTCCTTTAAGATTAAATAAATTTCCTTTAGTAAGAGTTACGGGATCCTCAGTGGGCAGCCACTGCGGGGGCTCGTAAGGCTTGCGGGAGCCAGGTGTGAGGTCCGTTCGGCGGTGTGCCTAGCCAGAGCAATTCTGTTAGGTTAGGATTGCCGCCAGGTCGCCTACCGCCTTTCGTTATTGCGATGCCTATAGCTATGGCCTTTGGTTTCATTTTGTAATTTCTGACCACCGAAGGTTGTCCAACACGTCACGTGAGCGTGACGTGTTTGATTTATTTATTGCCAATGTAAGTTTGACATATTACCAATGTAAAAAAAGAAAAAACACGACAGCCGTTAAAAATTAAACTAAGAAGTAAAAAAACGTTTTACGTATAACCCCGTTTATTAATGCTAATATGTACAAATACATATTTGATATGGTTTCATTGAGACCGTTCAAATGACAAATTTAATGTAATAATTAGAAGACTTTATTTTTATTTAACATTGCTGTTATTCCAGTTTAAACAGTTTAGGTATCGTATGTTACACGTAGTATCTAAGTAGTCTGTGTATGTTACCCAAGATGGTGAAAGGTAACGAACGATAACGATATTCACACACATCTAAATCGATTCAGGCGTTTTGAAATTATGGTGGAATAAAGAATTGTACATACGTGAACCCTGAATACATTATTACACTTTTTTGGGTAGTCGTGTACAGGTCGCGGCATGTAACTCTTGCGCTGAACAAAACGCGGAGGGGATAGCTGCGCATGGGTACGACTGGAGAGCCAATCGTCGCAACGCATGCCCACCCGCGCATCTTCTTTCCCCCCAAGACATCTTATTTTTTACTTCTGTGCAGTAACGGTCAGCGCTACAGTTTCATGCCGCGACTTATAAAAAGAGCACGAGACATTTGAAACCCTTCGGTGATTAGAAATAACAAAATGAAATCATCAGCTATCGCAATACCGATAGGCTGTAAGCCCCCTGCTCCTTTAGCATGAACACCGCGATATGATATATAACGCATTTTTATCAAGCTCAATTGTCAAATTACTATGGAGATTGACAGTTAGACGCTATAAAAACCGTGATATAATGTAAATTGTGGAGCTGATGCTAGGGGGGCAGGTGTGGGCTGCGCCTACAGAGATATCAAAATCAGGGTAGTGCTGACGTTAGACAATAATAGGACTAAAACACACTGAAAATATACACTGGAGTTTCCATTAGGAAATTTGTTTAGTTTTCTTTTGCGTTGGTCAGTAAAATTAATGATACCCTGCTTAACGATTTATTTTTGTTACCACAGATTTGATGCTGAAACTCACATTCCACATGTGACGGACGACTGCACCGGCTGCACATTATGTCTGTCCGTTTGCCCCATCATTGACTGCATTACGTGAGTATATTGGAATTTTAATAAAATTATTTTATAATTCATATATTCTAGTCTCGTACTTAGTATAGTAGTATAAGGCTAATCACAGTATTATAGACATTCTTACTTGATCTTTGCATCTCAATGAAGGTCGTATCAGACGTATCGACTCAGAAAGGAACCTTACTAACTCGTTTTGTACCCCTAGCACGAACCATCGAATTCGAATAGTTTGCAAACCGAAATGTCAATGTCTAATTTTGTATGGACACTTGAACAGCAGCGGCACAAAGTACGTAGCAAGAACTAAAAATCAGTACACATTTGACAATGACACTTCGGACTCGCATACGATACGAATTCGATATTGGTTCGTGCTAAGGGTACCGTTCAGTATTCGTACTGCAAAGCGGTGTGCTTTGCAGTACGAATACTGAACGGTACCCTTAGCACGAACCATCGAATTCGAATAGTTTGCAAACCGAAATGTCAATGTCTAATTTTGTATGGACACTTGAACAGCAGCGGCACAAAGTACGTAGCAAGAACTAAAAATCAGTACACATTTGACAATGACACTTCGGACTCGCATACGATACGAATTCGATGGTTCGTGCTAAGGGTACCGTTCAGTATTCGTACTGCAAAGCGGTGTGCTTTGCAGTACGAATACTGAACGGTACCCTTAGCACGAACCATCGAATTCGAATAGTTTGCAAACCGAAATGTCAATGTCTAATTTTGTATGGACACTTGAACAGCAGCGGCACAAAGTACGTAGCAAGAACTAAAAATCAGTACACATTTGACAATGACACTTCGGACTCGCATACGATACGAATTCGATATTGGTTCGTGCTAAGGGTACCGTTCAGTATTCGTACTGCAAAGCACACCAATCGAAATCGTAACAAGCTCGTGTTTCTTCGTGAGGTGACCATGTTACGGTTTCGATTGGTGTGCGTTTAAATAAAGGGCCGTTCATTTATTATATAAAACGATTTAGGGGGAGGAGGGGGGTTAACCATGTCTTATTTTTTCGTTTAAGGGGGTGGGATGTTGTCTCGATAGTTCTTACGTAAGATCACAAAAATGCGAAAAGGCAAAATTATAAGCCCCTACTTTGCAAAAGCGCGGGCAACCGCGACAGTACCGAGGTTCGCTCGGATGCGATAGGTAAACGAGTTCCATTTGCATGGCAACGGACCCGCGGCACCCGCTAGAGTGGTAAAAGGTAAAGATGAATGATTAAAAGGATTAAAATCAAAGTTTATTACAACCAAAACATTTGTAAAAATAGTGACTAGGCAAACAAACCATACGCGTACATTCATTTTTTCCTTAAGATTCTTATTGTAATAAAATAAATATTAAACAGGGGGGGAGGAGGTTGGCCTTGCATTACAAAGAATACTGAACAGCTCGAGTTGATACGGTGACGAGTCCTTTCAGAGTTGATTAGTCTACTACGACCTTTAGAGATTACTATCTCTGTAACATGCAATTGAGGAGAAAGGCTGGAACAGCACTTTTCTGTCGCATCTGCTACCTTCGAGGTTTCGCTACAAATACACATATATCAGGTGGGGTGGGGTAAATAAATAAGCTATGCAAAAATACGAATAAGTCAAGAAAAATTAATTGTCTCAAATATATAAAAAGTATTGCTATGCAGTATGCAAAAAAAAGCACCATCTTACTTTTCAACATTTCTTCTTGGGTCGCCCAAAAGCTACAATGTGTTATGTGTTAATTATATAAAATTGTTTTTTTTTTCACAGAATGGTACCGAAGCAAATACCACACGTGATCAAAAGGGGAATCCGCCAAGAGATATACCCTGTCTCACCTATGGGTGCAGTATGCCAATAAACGGAACAAAATTAAAAATAAAGTCATTTATTTTGTTAAATATATAAATGTACAAAAAGTATAAAAACAAGGAATAAATATTTTTATCCATATGCCAACATTTTGTATAATTCATCAGCCTGAGTTTTTGCATAATTCCATGAATACACCCAAGGATTTCCAGGGTTCACAGATAATGTTAGAGCTGATATAGGTTTAGGACAATTGTAATGCCATTTGTTTACTATATTTACACCTATTTCAGATTTATTGTGCAATTTTTCGCATATAAAACATTCAAATTTCTCTACTGCCAGTATTCCATCTGCTTGATACGGTCTTATTTGTACCTCATCAATTAGTTTTTGGTTGGTAATGATCTTTTTTATTTTATGTTCTAAATACTCTTCATACAAATTATCGTCATTTAAAAGTTTTCTGATATGTTTACTCAAAACTTCTGGCGTAGGGAAATCGTCGAGGAGAATAGCAGACTTATTATTTGGAAACCAATCTCTAATAGAGGGTGATCCAAAGTATATTGGTACAGTACCAACTTTGATGGCCCTCCAAAACTTTTCAGTAATATAATCTTCACAAACCCCATTCTCTATAGCCACGACAAATTTATACCTTGCAACAAATTTGAGAAAGTTTTCTTCATTTAAATTATTTAGATAATCTCCTGAAAATTGTTTTGGCAATTTTTTATTATTAAGGCATGCTCCGTATGAATCAACTTGTATAAATTTCATTAGTTCTGACACGTACGCATCTCGTTCAGTTGAAGTTTCACAATCACTCTGTAAGTACATTATGGGAGCAATCTTGTCTAGTAAGCCATTCTTTACCGAAGTTGGTATGAAATAATGTGTACTTGTTATGTGATCTATTGATTCCATATATTGCAAGGGGAATGGGACATTGCTATATCTACTAAATGTAGCTGAGAAATTGAATAGATTTAACATGGCCTCATGGAGTAGAACTTCTAAATTTCTCGGTGACTCCTCATGATACAATCCCCAAATTTCAGATGGTTGCTTCTGTGGCAAGTCTTTGATTTCAATATTGCTCCCGTAAAATAAGTAAGCGCCAACACTGTATTCTAAGCTTGCGTTTTTATTACTATACACATCACATTTCATGTGTCTTGAACAGAATCTTGTTTCCATTGTGCCAGGAAAACTAGATGTCCACCAAACTATCACTGGATTATTGGAATTCCTTTCAATTCCTTTTAACATAATATAATCATTTAAATGTTCACTTTCACATTTCCTGTTCCAAGTTATTAAAACAACTAATAGTAGTAATAAAAACCACAGAACTTTTGTCCTACATATTTTCATGAGTAACCTTGTACTCATTTTAAATATTTTTTTCATGGCACATTTTATCAGCAGTTTACATTTTATCAAACAAGCTTTGTCACACATGTTAGTGATTCAAATGAAAATATTTATCATCAAATTCAGGATGTCGATCATAATACAACATGACAGGCTAAAGCTGATAAGACAGCTGTAGCTGAATCGACTGATTAACTGTGTTTAGAATGTCCATCCTCTTTCCTTTTGCATATAATACAGATCCATTGCAAAGGCAATAATCAGGTCTACATAAAACAGGCCATATATTGCTCCAATTAGTCTTCCGACAAAGAATAAGTTTATGAATGCAATCACCGTGAATATTAGTTCAATAACAACATAATACATCTCAGCCTCATATTGTACCTGGTCCACAACATATAGCACCATGATAAGCAATGACAGCATGAGTGTCGGACCCGCCACCAGGCATTGCCATACGTCCACAGGCTCCACAACGTGCGGTAGAATACAGAGTAGCAGTGCCACTACCTAAAAGTAAGATCCACTTTCAATTCTTTCTATTTATTTTTGCAACACTATGGGTATATTGATTAGAATCTGCTCTTATTATTTTTATGATGGGTTCTCCTTCTCAATGGGTTTATTATATTTTTTTATTTTAAGCATTAAACTGCTTTTTTATGAATCTAATAACCAATTGCAGTATACTGCCCATATTGGGGAAGGTGCGGGTTTTGAATCCCGTCTGATGCTTGGACTGTGTTGAATTTTTTCCCCAAAAATTCTTTAGATTCTCTATAAGTGTTAGTTATTCAATTCAATATATTTATTGCAAAAAAAGGTGTATAAAAGATGAAAATAATATAAAAGACCCTAATAATATAAAGACCCTTAAGGACCCTATCTGGTTAGCTGATGTATTAGAAGCTATCAAAATTTGATGTATTGTTGATATGACCAATTTTTCACAAGTTCTAGAACTCAAAGGAGATATGCTACGTAGCACTTGCGCACTAAATGTTAAATGAGTTTTCATATGCAAAAATTTAAGTGACAAGTTTCCAGCCACTGTAACCCGTCGTTTACACCAAGGTATAATACAAGTATTTAACAAATTTTGTACAAGTCCTCATTTTTCGTTTACACTCATGTACATGTATAAAAGATGTAGTATACAATACTTGTCAAGATACTAGTTGTCTATGCAGTGTATATGAAAAAATGTTTTAAACAACCACAACAAGTATTTTACAAATTTTGTACAAAATTAGTTTATTACTTGTTTCTTGGTGAAAACGATAGGTAATATCATTAGGTTGTGCATTGTGGTGGGAGTGATAGTAAACCATTAAAAATGTAATTTTGCTATTCGCTTGCAAGGGCAAGTTAGTCAATGACTTTGCATAGGAGCTTAGAAAAAAAGGCCAAATAGAAATAGGTACACTTTTCTTAAAAGATTAACACAGTTAAGTTTTAACCTATTTTGATAAGAAAGCCTAATTTCCAGAATGTCTATGAATGCAAGCCACCCAAAAATGCAAAATGACTAAAAACAGTATACCTAAACAGCAGAAAGTGTAAACGGTTACAAAGCCTAATTTGCAGAATATCTATGAATGCAAACTACTTAAAACAGCAAAAAGTCTGTAGTAATATTCTTTTTCATTCCGTTCAAATTCTAGTTTTGGTATTAGAAATTAAGTTACAAAAAAATATAATTACACAATTAATACATAGCTTTGTGAACCAATTGTATTTCATGTCCTTAACATTATTTTGAAATCTTCTGTACAAGTGCCCAGTACCAAAGTGCTACTTTTAGTATGTAGGTAAATTACATCTCATGATAGAAAAACTCATCAATGTTTATATATTCTCCACAGTCTAAAGGATTTTTTTATGCATTTTGCTTCTGAGATTTTTTATTTTAAAATATGATTTTATGCATTTTGCTCCTTAGTAGTTCTACAATTTAAGATTTCTATGTGATATAGGTATCACACATTTTTAAATGTTTATATATAACACACTTATAAAATGTTCTGTAAATTAGGATTTGTAATGAAAATAGGTTTTAACAAATACGAATTAATAAAAGGTTGTTTAACAAGGCAGAAACAAATTCTATTTTATTTAAATACATATATGTGATTGTTACAAATTAGTTTTGTTCTTTTATAGTCATTTAAACTGAGATGCAATTTCATCTGTCTCAAGTAGTAAAAAAAAATAATACAAGTTAGAATAATACAAAGGATGCTGCTCACAAGCATTTTATTTATGTAAACATTAAATTCTACTTTAGTAAAGCAAATCCTCTCTCTTGTATAACGTAATATAGGTCTATACATATGGCTACTAGTAAATGTGCAATAAACAAAGCAAAAACGGCACCGGCCGCTGTATTAGACAATAAATTCGTTACAAGTGCTACCACATTCAAAGATATCTGTATCGTGAGGTACATCTGTTCGGCTAGGTCATGCACTTGGTCCACTAAATACAGCACCACGAACATCACCGACAAAATAAGTGTCGGCGACACAGCCAGGCAGTAAAAGATCCCAGGCCTGGTCATAACGAACGGGAGTATCATGAGTAGCATTGATATTACCTAAAAGTAAACGTATTGGAATTTTGATTCAGTACTTATTTGAAGGCAGATTTTACTTACCTATGATATATCCCTACAACCTCACATTCTAATACTGGGTAATATTTTTTTTTTGTTTTTTTCTAACTTTTGAGTTTCAAAAAACAATGAAACTAAAATAAAATAACCTGCAACTGCATGTAATGTAAACAACAGAGCTGCGTTCCAAACCTACGCTCTAAGTGCAACAAATGTCAAATTCGAAACGTTCGGAATAAAGAGTTGCACTCAGAGCATAGGTTTGGATCGTAGCCCAGCTGTTTGCTTGTAACGTTTCCTATTTACACGTCCATCTGTCAAAGTACATATTAAAGAATAATTGAACTTTTAAACACAATTGGACGTAGTTACGCGAAAACGTTCCAACCCACAAGTCACTCGAAAATGAGTTACCATAACCAGGGTACTATTTTTGACATATTACATCATGTGCACACAAAGATGCTAGTATTTTTAGGTTAGTTTCATCAATAAAGTTTAACCCAAATGTTCCAACCCACCATTATGCCAAGGACGTGTACTCAAAATAAAGTAAAAACATTACATGCATACTGAAACATATTGTTAAAAACTCTTAATAGAATAACATATCGTTATAATGTTCCACTTGTCTTGGAACATTATACTAAATTCATAAAACGCACATTTAATGGTTTCTTAAATGATCCATGTGGGTTGGAACGTTTTTGCAAAATCTTTATACATTTTTTATTTCTGCAAAAATGTTCCATGTAATTTGAAACCTTTTAGATTAATCCATACTGTTTTTTTAAGCTGCGAACACTGTTCTAAATAAATTGAAACCTTTTATTATAATATATTATTTTCTAATTTTTTGCTATAAACAATCCACATATACTTGATCCATTTTTGCTAAATATGTTCTAGAGAAAAAGATATTTTTTACCAAAATAAATAACTATGGTATATTTGGACGTAGTAACGAGAAAATGTTCCAACCCACAGCAACCCCAATTTGAGATAAACGCAATTTACACACTTTTTCCCTGTAATTATTTCAGGCAAATACTATTGGTTTAACTATGGAATGCCAAACTGATTATTGAATGATATGCATATTTTTTGTAAATACATAATACAAGGGGCATATAAATAGGTAAAACGAGTTTGAAATGTTTTTGCTAAATTAATTTTGTATGAACCTTGTTAAATAGCAATTATGCATAAACTTTCCAAAACGAATTTAAGTGTATTTTTATAAAAATAAACCAAAAAGAAATATGTAAAATAATAAATAACAATGAGGAACATACAAAAACAACAAAAAAAATATTTGAAAATGTATTACAAAAAAATAGAACGTGATCTTTTGAGCTTAGAACCTATGCCAATTTGCTGATATGGTTCCAAAAGTTATCAAAAACTTATATTATAAACATTCAATTTTCATCATCGTATTCTATGATCTCGAAGTCCGGAACTCCACCAAACCCATCAACATCATCAGTGCTTCTTCAGAACTTTGAAGCGTTCTATAAAATTGAAGGCAATCCTCGGGTATGTAGTGGTACATGGATTGTAAGTCCACTAATTTCGCTGGAGCAATCGGTTTGTCGTTAGGCCACAATAAGCAAAAATCAGATTCTTTTATGTATTGCAGTTCTCGTTTTATTCTTTTATCAATTTTCAACTCATTGAAATCGTCTTCCATCGTAGACCGCATAAAAATAGAAAAATTATATCTTTATCCAACTTAATTTCTTTTGTATGTAGCCAACTAACTTTAGATGAGTCTGTAAACTTCTTCCTATTGATAATCTTCTTTTCCAGTTTAGTTGTACTAAAAAAATCAGTCTTTGTCATTTTGTAAACTTGAAGAGGTTTAACTTTTTTACTTAGTTCTACAATAGTGGTATCCATAGTGCATCTAATGATACTGGGCATTGTTATGTATTGGTAGAAGGAGAGGTAGGAAGAGGTGCACAGGAAGTGGATTGCCTTCTGTTCTGAAGAAGCACTGATGATGTTGATGGGTTTGGTGGAGTTCCGGACTTCGAGATCATAGAATACGATGATGAAAATTGAATGTTTATAATATAAGTTTTTGATAACTTTTGGAACCATATCAGCAAATTGGCATAGGTTCTAAGCTCAAAAGATCACGTTCTATTTTTTTTGTAATACATTTTCAATTTTTGTTGTTTTTGTATGTTCCTCATTGTTATTTATTATTTTACATATTTATTTTAGATATATTTATAAAATAATACACTTAAATTCGTTCTGGAACGTTTATGCATAATTGCTATTTAACAAGGTTCATACAAAATTAAATTTAGCGAAAACGTTTCAAACTCGTTTTACCTATTTATATGCCCCTTGTATTATGTATTTACAAAAAATATGCATATCATTCAATAACCAATTTGGCATTCCACAGTAACACCAATAGTATTTGCCTGAAATAATAACAGGGAAAAAGTGTACCGCTAAAACACAAAATTGCGTTTATCTCAAAATGGGGTCGCTGTGGGTTGGAACGTTTTCGCGTAACTACGTCCAATTTTGCAATTTGCAATATTACATGTTCGAAAAAAACTTTTCTGCAATAATGATTACTATGAGATTATAAAATAAACAACGAAATTAGTAAATAAAATATATATTACGTTTTACACATAAAGCTCAATATTAATTATTATTATGCACAACTAAAAGTACATCCTCTTTCGTTAGCTATCAAAAATAAATCAAGTGACAGGGCAGTTAACAATGTAAAGTAAAAGACTCCATAAATTAACCATAACCACACTCTTACTAAATTTAATAGAAAACATTGCATAAAAGCACCAAATACAAACAATATTTGGAAAAATAAATACATTTTTTCCATGAATAATGGTACCCTCCTTCGCAAATAGAGAACAATAAATATGAATGATATTATAAGCGTAGGCCCAGTCGCTATGCAGTACATGTGCCCTTGTGGCCTTGGTATAATTACAGGTAATATAGTAATTATTAAGGCAATTATCTATAAACAATGGAAATATGAATTTATTAATTTGTTATACTAATGGGTGCCTGCCACTTCATCGGTGTGGAAAATCGGTTTCATATACAAACTTCTTCCCCCTTTTTACCCCATTTATGTCCTTTCTCGGGACTGAAATATATCTGTATACCAAATTTAATCTAAATCGGTTCAGCAGTGTAAGCTTGAAGAAGTAACAGACAGAAAGAAAGACATATTTCTACATTTATATCATAAGTATGGTTTTAGAAAATATGCTTTCCTTAAAGCATACATACTTAGCTAACATTAATAATAGGCCTCCAATTAGAACTATACCTATTAAAGCTATAGTACCTACGTTCAATAAATATCTACTTTAAAAAGCTTTAATAAACATTAAGGTATTAAATATATAGAACTTAGATTGAGAAACAAAGGTTATACTTATATCAAAATGTTAGTCAGTTTCTGTTGCGCAGGAGTCGAACCTACGATTATGATAATGAAAGTACTTTTAATAGGTTAAGGTCATACTTACGAATTCGACTAATTTCATGATAAAAATATTATACTTTATCAATTCATTCCATTTTTTATCAACTGGCACGGAGTCTGAAATCAGATAAAGGTATTGCTGTGTTATATTAATGTAATAGGTAGGTACGGTAAATAAACAGATTAATTTGTGCTAAGTGTTTACCGTTTATTATCATATCAGACATCTTGTTGGTTAAATATTTATTATTCCTTCTTTTATATAAGGTTACAGCATCGGTACTAAGATAACACAGCAAAAGTGTATTTCAGGACAATATTGCATAATTATAATCCATTAAAAATATAGAAATAAAAACCTTACAAATTCATTAAAGTGATTCATTTGACATTGGTATGACATTTCTAAGCGTTGCGCTGGCAGATTAATTTTTATTCTTTCACAGGTTTCAATGTGCCAGATAATCAAAACTTTATCAGAACCAACAGAAGGAGAATTTAAAGAATATGTTGTGATTAGCAAATTTACAAGGATGTAGTTTTGGGTCATCAATTTTAATAAGTCAATAAAATCTGCAAGGTAAAAAATGTATTTATTAAGTCTTGTAATTTTATATTATTATGAGACTTATTATTAATGCTTGCAACATTAAATCTGACAGTCAATGTAAATGTCAGTGAAATGTCAAATTTATTACCTGTCGTTCGTTCGTCGTGTAGGTACCGTTTTGTGTGTATTGTCGCTATTTTATAGTTTTGTTGCTTACCAAATAAATATTGATGATATATTTAAAATAACCAAGGGGAAAACTTGCCAGCCAGTATGGAGGAAGAAGATCCTGTAGTACAAGAGGTAATGTTATCTGCATTGTTAAATACAACGTGGTATAAGGTTATGTTGTTGAACATTAAATTGTTTGATTTATTGCGATATGTTCATAATTATAATTTCAGATACCAGTTTATTTGTCAAAGGCGCTTGCCGAAAACTTGTATGTTTATCAGTATCCCGTAAGACCGGCGAATAGGGACTGGAAAGATCTTGTAGTTACAAATGCAGCAATTAAGCCAAAGAACCAGCTTGTAAGATTGGAAGTTGGTCTGGCTACTGATAGCGACAAATACTGCCCCTCTAAAGGCGAGCAGATCGCTATTAACACAGATGGACAACAGGTAAACTAGAGTTTTTCATAAAATGCATTACAAATTCTTCTTTAGATGGGTTTGAACTTGAGATTTCAATAATATCTTCATATTTAGCGTTTAGGTATTCCTGTTTTGTAAATGACAGTATTTCGCTATACTAAAATATTTTTCAATGGGCATGAAGCAAAATTTAATTCATTATTCTTTGATATTTCGGTTCTGTATTTTGATTAATTAGTTTCTAAAGGATTTGAAATGTAAATAATAAATTCAATAAATGAAGACATCCCTGTTTCAAAACTGTTATTAAATTATTGAAATTTGTGTAAATATAAGAAATTATTAAATATTTCTAGTTTAACAACTTCACTTACAAGAATTACTGTTGTATGATAGGAAGTGTTGATATTATAGAACCATTTCTTAAATACTGTTCCAGAACTTGTTAGTTGTACAAGTTTCTTTTTGTATTTGTAATATGTAAAGCATGGTGATTTATTTGTAGTAATAGTTGTAATAGTATTAATATATGTATGAATGTGTGGTAATTTGATTCATACAGCTGTCTAGAGATGTGAATTTGATTTAAATATAAATAATAGTAATGTTAAAATCACCATGCTTTCTGAAGCAATGTTGTCTGGAACATAATGATAGATATAGTTTGGTTATAAGACAATATATGATATAATAAAGCAAAAATATTTTAAAGAAAAGTAACTAAGGACAAAGACAAAGAAATTGAAAGGAAAATACAATTAATCGAAATCACCATGTGGTAATTTCAATAATTACCACATGGTGATTTCAATTAATTGTATCATAACAATAGATACTTGGTCAATACCCTGTATTTGTTTATTACTGTTTTAATAATAACAATTTATTATGAATATTCAAAGACAAAAACAGACAGCTTAGAACCATACAAAGTTTGAACACAAAATTTAATACTTTTAATATTTTTAGGAATGGCATACCAAGACAAAGGACAAGTCAAAATATTTTAGAAGTGGTATGATGGATAAGATTGTTTATGAGAGCTGCTCTCCTTGCACAGAAACTGGCCACTATGCTGTTGCAATATTGCAAGATAAAGAGTTGCATTGCACTCCTATACAAGGTTTCTTTCAACATTTAATTATTTAGATACATAAGGCTCCTAGTGACTAATTAAAAGACAAGGTTTAATTTAATTAATTTCTATTCAAACATATGGACTTCTATACTTATTTTGAATATAAATTGTTGGCAGAAGTTTTATTGTTGAAGAAACAACACTTCAGCCTTTTGCACCTTGTTGGATGGTACTGCCAACCTAATATAACCTTGTATTGGGAAATTTGACTATAGATACAACCTAATTTTATTTTTACATTCAATGGTCCACTTAAGGACTAAGTGCGGAAATTATAACCTTTAACACAATCACATTTTATTGCCTAGTTAGTAGCCATATGTAAAGTTTTGTTTATATAAAAATATACAGTAACAGTAGTTTTCATATAATGTGGTAATGATTCAGTTACAAGGGTGCATGAAAGTAGAAGAGTGACAATCAATATCTCATTTATAGTTACTTTCATTTGTTTAGGTTTACTTGTACTTTGGATTTTTTTATTCATTCATTTATTCCTATAATTACAGTTTATAGATATTAACAGCACCACATATATTGTTAGTGTTTTATGTTATAGTATCAGATCTACTGGCATACCTTCTTCATGAAACAATTTTTTAAACAGGTATTGTACAGATGAGACCCTCATATTCATATTATGATAAGCAAGATAAACGCAAAAGTGATAAAAATAAGGCTGATAATTCTGATGATGAGGAGAAAGAGAAAGAACCTGAAGCAGAACAGGTAATAGAATTTATAACTAAATACTATTATATTGCTCCATACTTTTAAAGTATTTTTTTTATAAAATTTATTTTTACATAAATTATGAATAAAACTATTAACTTATTATCATTGATCAAAGCTTTTCTTTATCATTGGTTCATGTCGGTCATTCCTGCTACTACCTTTATTAAACAGGTGACAGTGAAATTTGCACGCCAAGAGACTGATGTAGCTAAAAAAGCTCGGGAGAAGTCCTTTGAAACCGTATCCCAAAGAATAAATGATGAACCATGGTATGATGCCATGTGGAAGGATGCTGAACATGCAGAAGTAAGTTCCCTTTATACACAAACTTATATAAATTCTATGGTTTGTAATTGTCAATATCATTTAGGGAATTAGTATGCATATTATTATGTCATTATCATTAAGGGAATTAGTAATATTAATGATAGCAACTAAATGTTCACTGTAGTTATTTGATATTTTCCTTCTGAGAATGCTTTGAATTTATTGTTTTTTAAATAAATCTATTGCAAATTTTTCAATTCAATTTAAATGTTAAAAATTAAAGTACATAATTATAAACATTTAAAATTATAACAACATCATTTGAGTGTCGTTTTTGAAATTATTATTATCTTCTGATTTGACATCAGTTTTATCATACCATACATGTATTTTAGAGAATGAACTAAAAAAGCATGAAATTAATAACTTTCTAGACAGAGATATACAATCAGTGAGGTCATAATATGTAGACAGGTTATACGTCCGTGCCCAACTTCCAATGGCAACAGTCGCTAATAGAGCGCACTAAAGTAGTCTCTTACACTTTCATGTATAAAACAGATTGCATCTCGCTCTTTAGCCTTCATGTGTCAATGATGACAGCAATTGTCAAAATAACTAATCACTAAATATTTTTACATTAATTTCTTTAAAACTGACGTTTTTCTTGTCTCTAACGGTTCCCGCATAATTTGTGTACTATCTAAAAGTATACATAGGCCTTTTTGTGTGAAAAACGTAAAATATTTACACATTGTAGCGAAGTCTAGCCGCAGTGAGAGAGTGTTCCCGGCTGAATGCAAGTCGGGCAATTACCTGTCTTGCCAAATTGCCAAATTAGAAGCGTGTATGACGTATCTATAACTATAAAACATCATAGTATTTAAAATTCATTGATAAAATATGGACCACCCTTTTGCTTTGCATCTCTCACACTTATTTGTCCAATTTTACTGGCTAGTTATTGAATGCAGTATTTTGCTGAGCTGAGAAAAGTCTCAGCTAGACAATATTAGGTATTACCCCATTAATGCCTGGGCTGCGTTCATAACCTACACTCCAGGTGGAATTTATCAACCTGTCGTTGAAATCATTTGTGACATAAAATGTATGAAGCTGATGTTTTGTTGTACCTGGAGCGTAGGTTTGGAATGAAGTCCTGCTCATCTTCATCATTAAACCTTTATTCAACCAGCTTGAGCGGCTCAAGTTGTTCAGTATGAACACATCGGATGGCTCAGCATTGACCCTTAGTGGCCGTGAGTACGTGCGGGTTTTGGTACCACCGCCTCCTGATGACGAGGCAGACGTGGCGCCGGCCAAACTGCCCACACCACAGGAACAACTCAAGGAAATACTCATCAATGGTAAGTGGGATTTGGTCTTGTGAGAGGTTTTTCATTCAGACTTGTGTGTGTTTTTTGTTTGTAAACCTTGTTTAGTATTATGTTGTTCGCAATAGATTTATTACCCTAGTGTTGAGAATTAAAACCATTCTATTATTTGTAATTATTTATTGTCTCAAAAAATGTTATAAAAAAGTCAGTGCACATTATTTTATATAATAACTGAATTCAGGTAAACCAATAACATATCACTATACTGCAGCGTATAATAAGTAGTTGTTGGTTGTCATAGTGTCGCAAGCTCTTGTGTCCGGGTTTGATTCCCATCAAGGTGACATGCATCGCTATCTGTTTGTGGTACACTTTTTTTTGAACACTTATTTATTTATTACATTTTAAAGTTGATGATGGGTTATGTTACATTGTGATGTAGAGGATTCAAAAGTTGGTAGAGTATGCCCAACAGAATCCGAGGCCGCGTCGAGATGCAGTCAGGGAGGTCAAATGGGTGGGAAAGACAGGGAAAGGAGAGTACGTTTTAATTAAATAGTAAGAGGAGGAGAGAAAAGGAAGAGGAGAGGACACTTTACCTTCTCGTTTCACGAAACACTTCGTTACGAGATAGTAGAGCACTTTCCTTATCACATATTAACTTACAAAATACCTACCAGGATGGCAAACAGAGTCATAAGGGCTCGGTCATGTTATTCTCCAATGACAGTAAAGCTTATCTTCGTCGGTACTATCTCGTTTTGGTCAAAAGAGTTGAGTTGTTTTCGCATCAAATAACGAAAATTCGGATCGTAATAGCGTAATATAACCTGATCGTTTTCCATTTCCTTAGCGAAACTGATGAAGTTCAACGACCTGCGCGCCATGGTGCGCACCGAGGACGGCAGCCAACTAAGCGAAGCATCGCTTCTATCCGCTTTAAGCGTTTGCGCGTGCTGCGTACGCGGACTATGGACCGCGCGCTCCAGCTGCCTTTATACGCGCGCCGCGCCCGCGCCGCCCCGCTTGCTGTGCGCCGCGCGAGACCACGTGGTGAGTGCCTCCGATCTAGCCGGCCTACGAGGATGTCAGCCAGTATATCGACGCGTCGCTTCTGTCCGCGTTAAGTGTTTGCGCGTGCTGCGTACGCGGACTATGGACCGCGCGTTCCAGCTGCCTTTGTACGCGCGAGACCACGTGGTGAGTGCCTCCGATCTAGCCGGCCTACGAGGATGTCAGCCAGTATATCGAGGCGTCGCTTCTATCCGCGTTAAGTGTGTGCATGCTATATACTCCTTCCGATTCCGTCGGCCTAGGCATGTCTTACAGTAACCCTACGATGAAATCACCCGCGCCAACGCGCCTTTGACTCGTCCCACACAGCCCCCAAGCATCAACACTGCACAGCTAGCAGACTTGCACATTTGCTTAGCATTAGGCAGACACCGCACCCGTAGGATAAGAGTGCGAAGACCTGGTCTACACACGACCATATACCAAGTACAGATACGTACCTGGGCGTTTTTCCCCGCCTTTCACGACAACGGCTAACTAGAGCCGAGGTTCGAGTCTCAGAGACGCACTCTAGTGGAGCCGACCCCCTCAGGTTCGAGTGGTCTAGAGGCTCCAGACGGAGAGAAAACTCCCCCCGTGGCGAGATGCCATCCACCTGGAATACCTCTAGAGGCACTCGCCAATTCTCGGCTTGAGGTCCCCTTAGGTTTCCGCCGTCCCCAAACCCGGTGACGCTGTAAAGGTCATATGCGACCAACAGCATACACACTTAAAAAATAAATGCTGTATACGCGGACTATGGACCGCGCGCTCCATTTGCCTTTATATAAGTCGCGGCACAAAACTAGCGCTGACCGTTATTGCGGGGGAGAAAAAAATGAAGATGTCTTGGGGGGAAACAGACTTAAATTTTAGTAGGTGGCGTGCAACGTGTGCCTCAAATTGTATGAAAACGTGCCTTATTTTGATGGCGAAGTAGGTAAGTGGTGAAAAAGCATATGCACCGGCAACTCGTCTCTATTCTGTCGATTTTACAGCTTATTAAGGCAAAATAATAATAAGACAATTAGCAAACGTATCGAGAACAGTGATAAAAAGAAGGAAGCGTAAAAGGAAGACGTTTAGTCTGTCTTTTGGTATGTTTATGGCATGCGAAGTAAATACACTTGCGGTATCTATTTCGATCTATATCTGTGGGTGAGCCCCCGGGTTTAGTCGGGCTACGAGGATGGCAGCCAAACCAGTATCTGCGAGCGTGGGTTTACATTGACCGCAATCACGTTGTGTGTTCCTCCGATTTAGCCGGTATATTTAGAGTACTCAAGAGAATAAATTAAGAGTTGGTAAAGCATGGCCCCAGCTACCTGTTTCTATTCTACAGTTTAATATGTCACAATTACTGATTTTTTAAATATTGTGATTGGCATCCCTATCCATGTTTTGATATGTTTTTGACACGCTAACTAGAGCTGAGGTTAGTTTCAAGGGCGGTCTGTGGACCACGTTCCCCAGTTGTCTGTATTGATATCCTAGCTTAGAGAAGAGAGGATCTTTCGGGGTTAATGGTTTATATATAAGTTTATATACATTCATCGGAAATCAATCTCGGCAGCAGTTAGCGGAAATGTCAAGTTAAACGCTATCGTCTAATAGTTACATAAAATCTGTTTATTAATCAAAATTGTTTTCCTTTTCAGCTTTACCTTTTCACTCAACATCCTTACATAGACAGACGGAAGGTCGCCGCAGCAGTTCGTCTGCCCCCCGCAGAAGTGTTAGAGATAATAAGCTCCGTCGCCAAATTCAATCCGCGCACAGGCTGGGAGCTGATAATACCGCCCGACGTCGCCTTCGAGGCAAAGTATCCCGACGTTGTGCAACGTCAGAACTTGTACTGGGAGGCTAGACAACGGCAGTTCAACGAAATGCTGATAGGCGAAAATGTACCAAAACGTCAAAGAAAAAAGTCCCAAAGGGAGTCGGTCAGCTCCGATACCATGATGAGCCCCAAACCGAGGTGCAACAGTATCACAGAAGAGGATAGTGAACGAAAGAGACAGAAAAACAAATCCGCAACGGGCGGCGGTAAACGGACTCGTAATTTTAGTTCGAGCAGTGTTCATGACGCCACGTGATCCGAACACAAAGTTAGGTTATCAAATTTATTAGTGTAAAGCAAGTGCTTTCTCACTCGTACATCCGATATAATGTATAAGTGTAAATGAGACAGCTTGACTGGTTGGTTTAAGTTTTTACAGCATTACGATGTTATTATTTTTTTATTTTATCAACAATTGCTTTGTCTGCGTCAATTAGAAAATTGTGATCTGTACTAGTGATTGTCAAGGATTTCACTTGTTCAATATGATTTTAGTATAATTTTAGGGTTCCGTACCTCAAAAGGAAAAACGGAACCCTTATAGGATCACTTTGTTGTCCTGTCCGTCTGTCCGTCTGTCAAACCGTTTTTCTCAGGACGCGTGGAGGTATCAAACTGAAATTCATATCTAATACTCAGGTCTACTGTCCCTTGGAGCTGTGAAAAAATCAAACTTCTAAGCCAAAGCAATCAAAAGATACAGCCGTTTATGCCGCAAATTTTCGAAACTCTTACGGGAATCAAAACCTACAGGGTACTTCCCGTGAACTTAGAATCTTGAAATTTGGTACGAAGTAACGTCTTATAGTACAGATAAAGGAAAAATTGCGAAAACCGTAAATTTTTAGTTACATAATAAATTATAAAAAATATTTTTGAAAATTCAGGTTTGTACGGAACCCTCGGTGCGTGAGTCTGACTCGCACTTGGGCGGTTTTTATTCAAGCATTTAACTACTACATTTTTATGCCCTTAGTATTATTTTACTAGAAAAATATTATCTCTGCCCAGGCATCAAACTAGAATTGAACCAAAAATCCTATTCTATCCTGGCGAATGCACTGACCATTATGCTACCTAGACCTTAATGGTCAAATCATACTAGCGCAGAGTCGAAACGCATCAAAGCGGTTATTAGAAACAGTAACTTAGCAAATTCACTCTTATCTCGGGTACATATAGCATATATTCCATCTGAGCTGATTAGTTGATTTCGTGTATCTTCTTTTTATCTCAGAAGGAATATGCACATTACATTTTGTAAATAATGGTTATTTGCTTTGTTACGTTTCTGGAATTCGCTTCGATGCGTTTCGACTCTGCGTTAGTATGAATTGACCATAACGGACTCGTCAAAATTATTCCATTACGTACCTATGTCTTCGAAATGGTTAATTTTTGCTTACTTCCGTTAACTCACATATTATTATGGATCGTTCTAAGAAAGCATATCTAATACTTTGAATCTTTGATGTTATTTATAAAAGATTTACTTATTTGTTGTAATAATGTGAAAAGAAAACATTGTCTTTCGGAACATGATTTTTTGTTGTTAATAAAGAGTCATTAATTGTGATCGCCATTTGAGGTGTATTAAAAAGTAACTGAATAGGGAGAGTTAATGCAGTTATGAGTTAAAGAAATACATAGTAGCGTAGAGAGTGGGATTCAGTGGGCGGTACCAAAAGCAAACCCTTCCCCAATTGTAATAAAGAATATTGCTCAATAGGGTATTTGACAGTGTTAAAAATAAAATGCCAATTGTTAGCATCGGTGTTTAGAATGAATATAGGCAGGGGTTTTTACTACCTATTTTTTTAAAATTGCATAATTTTACTAAAAACTAACGAAAAAAATAATAGTTTTCTTTTCTATTGTCACGTGACCCAAAACGCTTGCGATTGGCGGAGCCTAAAATGACGTCACACGCAAGTAAACTTCCGGTTAAAGTGACATTACATTGTATCATTTGACGTTTTAATAACAGTCGTGTGACGTCACACACTAGTAAGACGCCATAATGTCCACAGAAACATTTCCGCGGCAACTTGAAAATGGAGTTTTTGATTTGGTTATTTTTACTGAAATACACAACAGAATGATGAATTTCCACTCCATAAACATTAGTCAATAACGTGAGATCGTTTTCTAAAACTTGTCAAATACCCTATTGTCTTATCTATCTAATCCTTGCACCTTATTTTAACTTACCCTTTCACCAAACATTCTGGTGGCTCAATTACACTTCGTCGCTAGCCTGAATTCGATTGCTAATGGAATTCAGGTAAACGATTAAGTTTAAATGAACGGAGTCCCAGTAAGTTTGTATTCGGGTAGTTTTTGTTTTGGTTACCCGACACAGTCTTCCAGCCCGTAACAATATTTCCACTGTAAATATTGTTTCGGGTGCCCGAATCCGAGTAATGTCTTTCGTGCACCCGAATACGGGCTAATGACCTAGTGTTATTGAGTCATTACATAGACATAGCACAATAACCCTCGTCTCTTGAGAAATGGAATATTTTACTAAAAATATGTTTGAATAGGAAGCCCAAATATCACGCCACTGCTATTGCCTTATTGAAAACCTTAATCTCATGGTAATAAGAGGGAAAACTCAACCTCATGTACACGTGACTGTAGTAATTAAAAGAACTAAGGTACTTCTTTTAATTACTACAGATCATAATTCGTTTCAATCTGTTTTAGACAAAAAATATAAAATAATAATAGCTACAAAATAATAACAACATGAGAGTTGTTATTTTTCATATACGAGAGATGTTAACGTTTCCTTGATTTCAATTAAAATACAGAATATCAAATATATATAGAAAAAAGTTGAATTATGGCTAAACTTCATATTAAATAACAATAATCGTGACATCTCGTTTCTGAGGTCAAGATATTATTTTAGCTAGGATATATCAAATTTATGCTGCAAATGTAAGCAATAATTACTTGATGCTATTAAAAATAGCATTGTTCGACTTCACATCAGTAAATGTTGTCTGAAGCTGGGGCACGAATTTTGACAGGTCCGTAATTATAGATATTAACGGGATTGTTACCATGTACCTTGTTTTTTATGAGTCTCCGATATTTCATAAAAAACAAGGTACATGGTAACAATCCCGTTAATATCTATAATGCTAGTGACCATGAAAGTTTAAAACAATATAGGTCCGTAATTGTATCGTCATCTTCGAATTTTGTATGAAAACTGTCTGCCACAACGGACGTAACGAAAACTAAAAATCAGTACACGTTTGACAATGACATTTGGAACTCGCAAACTATTCGAATTCGATATTGGTTCGTGCTAGGGGTGCAGTTTGTTATTACGTCCGGTAGGGCTACTTAGTTTTCATAGAAACTGGCGATGCGAGGCCTTTGATTTATCATAATATCCTTATGCTTTAATACAGATCTGGTTCGCATGAAAAATTAGGGTTATCCTAATCTCGATAATCTATAACTATAAAATATACCCATGAATTTAATCGTTTTGGTGGACATTGCTTTTGTGATTTTGTAAAAAGTTTTATTTATTTATTTATTAAAAAAGGCTTTTTCATACGTATGCATTTAGATATCGCCATTATAAAATGCATTTGACACCCAATTATGATGAGCCGGTTCTGGTGACTTTCTTGCAATGGCCGTTTTTGCAATCCCTTTTATTTCATAGTTGAGAAAGAAAGGAGATTGCTCAGCTTCCATACATGTTTGGCATAAAGACATCATGAAAAATTGTTTCCTAGATTCGAAATTATATATAAATTACTGTAGAAACGAATATTATTGACGGACACCCCTGAGAACTTCTATAAACCATATACACTGAACATATTAAAATAATAAAAAGCAAATAAGTTATCTAGTAAACTAGGGAAATCAAGCCAAGTACCGAAATTATAGATTAGATTCAGGTATATAGAGCATGTAGATTAACAGATAGTTGCCTGTTTTTAAAGTTAATGCATAAGAGTAACTTTTAAAATCAGGTGTCATTTCCGGTTATAATAAGGTACTCTGTGACAGAAACTGTGTGATGATTGTGAATGAGCCACAGATTAGAGAGAATTTTTAAAATCTCGTTAACCAAAGAAAGCTAAGAGATTAAGGTTCTATAGCCATATATTCAGTAGCTTCATTATTTTTGTTATGTTTTTAAGATAACCATATTTTAGATTTTTAGTGTATCACACCTTATAATTTTATTTATTTATTAATTTATAGTCAGGGAACGTAGGCCCATAGATAGATACCTTAAAGTCTAACCTATATACAGATTATAATGTGTTTATGGACGTGTTTGGCGAAAAATGTATGGCAATAGACTTTATGATGTCGCCTACCATCTATAATAATTGTCTGAGCACATTTGCATCTAGTGAAAATGATAATATAGTTGTGGATATTAATACCACAGTGTAATAAAAAAAATGATTTATTTTATCGATCTTTACAAAATAGATTTGTTTTATGTTATATAAACAACTTCAATCAGTCTTTGGCTGAATGTTACTACACCCATAGCCATTAAAAATGATTCGTATGTTTTCCAAACCGGTAAAATTAAAAGTCCTTTTTAAAGTAAATATATTATACAAAGGTGTCCGTTGAAATCTAATGACTGTAAATTAAATTATAAATTACGCCAAGAATTACCGTGTATGTCAATATTTTTTGTGCATTTGGGCCAATTTGAGCAATCTCCTTTGTTACGTTCCTTATATAATTGACACTTTTCTATACCACTGAAAGGGAAAGCGAAAAGATTAGCAGCCTGTTTGCTTGTATAAGATCACAGATCATTGCCAGAAAAAAGCAGCAGTTAATGTTTTAATTATGAATTACCAATATAAATCGAAATATTTTAGACAGAAGAATTACTTTGGTGTAAACTAGGACTATTGCTATGTTGTACCCATTGACTATTAATATTATGAAATCAAAACCGGTACCTATCGCATAATAAAATGAGAAAATGACAACATTTCTTTAAATGTGTGTAAATAGTTTTATGTGAATACCTATTAGCTTATATCGTGTATGACACCAATGTGATTTAATTGTAAGTTGTTATTTTTTGTATAATAAACAAAATAAACTGAATATTTTAAATGTTTCGTATTTACTTCGTAATAAGGTTGCTTTTCCACTAGAGATGGGCAAGGTAGAAGAGGTGCGTGAACATAAAATAAGTACTAAAACAGCATAGAATATAAACTTTAACAAAAAAAAGCACCGCAGAAAAAAATTGAAAGCGGGAAATGTAAACCTTTTTTATCTTTAGCCAAATTAATATTTTTGGAGTTTGTGCTATGCTATGTGCAAAATATATATTTTACTAAACTTAATTAAATATAAAATTAATCTAATAAATTTTATAAGCTGGGGTAGACGGCTTAGATTAAAACAAAAAGGGTAGATACGGCACTAGCCTCACAAAAGTGATCCGCATAAATTGTGGCCCAAGACCACAATCGCTTGTGAACGCCAAAAAGAAATATTGCTAATATTTTGTGTTTATATGATAAAACAATGCCTAAGTGTGTTTTTAAAAAGTGCTCAAATTGCTCAAGAACTAAAAATATACTCACGGCATCACTTTTCATTCGTAAGTACTATAAAATATATTTTTTCATAAAAATTGCTGTTTGTTTTGAATCTTATTCGGTAGTGACGTCGAGTACTGGTCGCGTGATTGGTCGGTAGTGCAATGACGCGGATCTCGCCGTCTCGTTCACGCTGCCGTTGAAACTTAACGTGCTGTTTCGTTCGGGTCGGTAATGCCGTGACGCGGATCTCGCCGTCCCGTTCGCACTGCCGTAGGATCAGTTTTTGTTTGATGCAAGTATGAGCGTACCGTATCTACCCTTTTTGTTTTAATCTAAGGTAGACGGTGAATAAAAAAAAACACCCCCACTTTACATGTAGGGGAGCTCCCTAAAAAAAATATTCTTTTTCCAAATTTATAGTGGACCAACTTCTTCCTAACCTTTCCAATAAAAAGCAATCGTCAAAATCGGACTTCGCTGTAATATATATTTTTATATAAAAATGGTAGACGCTTGAAATATTCACAACATTTCAAAGTGTGTTATGAGAAGTTGCAGTTCACAATAAAAACAAATTTATTTATTGTACTCTGATTTATTGACTACTATAGACTCTATTAAGTGCGTTTTATAACAACAATAGAATATTTAACAATTTCAAACAGTTTAGCACATATTTTTTATATTAGGTAACACTTATAAAGTTAGAATTAAGTAATTTTTGCGATCAGCTAAAACATATTTCGTAAAAAATAGTTAAAAAAAAGGTTGATTAATATTACAATTTCTTGAACGGAGTTTATAAACATCAGGTTATTGAAAATATTATTGATTGATTATTTATCCTATTTCTATAGAAAGAAGCATACATTTTTATAAAAGTATTTTAGTGCTATAATTTCTTTTGTAGGTGTGAAATAGGTCCAAATCTACCTTCATAAATATGCATTTTCCTATTAAATTAAATATATTTTTATAATCAACATCATTGAGATAATAAGTTTTAGATCACCCATCCTATGCGAACAGATACACTCCGCTACTGCGAAAGTTATTAAACTCTATGATCGCAGAGTGAACTTTCTAACCACTGTGCCATCGTGCTAGTCGATAATACACTCCCGGACACATCTATCTGTCTATCAGCTAAGTTAAACGGTCTACAGTATATATAATGCGATTCAAATAAGAATAGGAAAGCCAATGACCTCCATCTGTCAAATGACCCTCGAAAAGTACGGTTTGCAAAAAATCTTGGAACTCTTTTTTAGCACTCAGCTAATTCTAGAATAAAAAAATGGTTGCCTGTAAAGTCGGTTTTACGGGCGAAGATTTTACGTGACAACGTCTTTTTCTCGGTAGAATATTTATTGATATGAATATAATTAAATTGCACAATAGGAACAAGGAATTGAATGAAAATAAGAATTGCACAAATTTTAACTATAGAAATATATTTTGTTTACTAAAACATTGTACATGTAAACTTAAACTTAACACGAGAGACTCATCGTAACGTTACCGAGCGTTACACTTTTTCATAAGTGACTCCCAGCCGCAACCTAATTTAAGACGTTGTCACGTCAAAAAACAAACATGACGACGATGACAACTCCGGTAGTTATGCTGAGCTGAGCGGAATTGAAGAGCTAGATTCCGATTAAAATTTTTACTCACACAGTCATAAATGTTATTAAAAATCGGTGTATTTTTTTCTCAATCCTAGTAAATAAAACTTATTAATAAAATCTGATGTTTTTTCTCACTTAATCTTAGTAAATAAGTTTTATCGAAGAAAAACTTTTATTGCTCACTCTACCTATTTTGTTTCAATTGACAGATTTGACATCACAAAATGGCGCCCAGTCGATCCTATTCTTAGTTGAATCGCATTATATGTTAGATTAAGCAATAATAATATATTTTTAAAAACACGTTAAATATGGTTTATAAATTAGTTTAAAACTGTAAACTAAACTAAAAAACTTTTGCTCTATGTAACAATTAATTATAAGCGAGGGACTGACAAAAATTAAAATGTTAGGTGTATATATGTGTCCGGGAGTACAATAAGTATTTATTTTGATCGTTGATCGCTATTTAGATTTCTGACACGGTAAATTATTATAAAGTAAGTATGCTAATAATTGTAAACAACGCTTGATGCTCTTAATAGTACAATACAACCTCAGATTACAGAAGTAAAACCGTAAAAACATGAATTCATTTGAAATCCCTTTTTAATTTTATCATCTAACTAATAGTAGGTAGTGAAAATAAAAAAACAAAAATACATTAAAAAAAAACCCCAATTGAAACAAAAAAGCGGGTGTTTTCTTGGACCCTGGCAACATTACACGCACACTAAAACAATTAAAGGGTACGTATTCGTACAGCGTTGTCGTGCACACAGCTAGTTGCTTGCGAGCCTCACTTTGCTTGTACCTATACCTGGTGCTTCATCTGCCTTTTGTTCTGTAATCTGAGAGTACAACAGGCAAACGCATATCATTTTGTACCTATCCATGATTAAAATAAGTATAAAAGAACATGATTATAAATAAACGAGACCTTGGTGATTGTGTAAGTAGAAGAAAAATAATATAAAAGTAAGTACTTATCAGTATCACAATAAATAGAATTATATTAATGACTTAACTACATCTAAATGCTACAAAGTGGTATATACTGTCGGGAACAAGCTAAAGGTATTAATTTTGTCAATAACCAGAGTAGCGTCGTTAGGGCTGTGCCAAATAAACTAACAATACAGCCATGGCTTCGTTACTTCGGCCAATGATAATCCCCAGCTTACTTGTGTCAAGCAGTTTTCCATTCTGGATTTTTTTGAGCGAAATAAAGAAAGCGATCCACTACTTTCCATGAGCAGAGTATAAACACGCGATTTTAATAATATAAAACTTTAATGCACTTAATGGTGTTTATGTAATTAAGGTGTCTGCACAAGTGCATTATATATATAGTACAGGCATTTGTTAACAATGTAAAACCCATTAATAAAAAATACATTTTATTATTGACGATAAAATCATTTCAAAATTAACCATAAAACTTACCTAATTAAAAAAGAAAACAAATAAGAATGATTAAACTTACACTATACCTATATTAAGCAGATAAAAAAATATTTAAAGAAAAACGGTGTAACAAAACAACCATTAAGTAGAAACATATGTATCAGATCTACACATAATTGTTCATATCAGACAAAACACTTTCGCATAGGTACCTACTTAAATAAATAACTTCCTCTGTAAACGTTGTTTGGTTGTTAATTTTTTCTCTATATTATTTAGTGGCCAGCACTTAATATCGTCGGAAAATTATTGTTACATCTATCTATAACTTTGGCGTATCAAGTCCACTACTACAATACAATTATGTTCAACGATGACACGAAAAATACAGCAATATTTCGATATTACGTTACAAAAAACAAGCTTGCCTTACAATAGTCGTGTATGATGTGTAATATTTGAAACCTCACCTTATAATAATTAGTAAAAAAAGAAATAAAACCGACTACAAAAGGAATAAGCCATTTGAACATTATGTTCTAAAATCAAATCAAATAGCGCGCGCTTTCGCGACTTCCTGTAACACACTTCCGTCCCATTTCACGAAATCACTCCCACAAATTGCAGGAACGCGAAAGGAAAGATGTTACACATTAAAAAAGCATACCTAGGCAGCTGTACCAATAAATACTTCTTCCTCACAGCAGTAGTAGATTATTAAAACCCTTATTAAATAAACAAGGAAAAGCTTAGACTAGTTACGCCGTGTTTTGTTCATGTCACTCAAATGCTATTTAATTTTGTCGTTCAATAGACAAAGTCAAAACATGGATTTACTAATCCAAGCGTAGTCTTCGTTTATTAATTAGGGTAAATGTGAGTATCTATTGCATTTTGAATTACATATTGTGAAAGAATTTTCAAAATACTAATAATCATTTCAGAGATTCCTTTTTACCAACTTTATTGCTTTTCCATAAATAGTGTTAGATTTAACCATAGGCTTTTCATGTTATGTTTGCAAATTCTCGAATCGAATTATTTCACTCCATCTTTTAATCACATCTAATACTTTAAATCAAAAACCACGTAGCACACAGTACACTTAAACACTAGAGTCAAACCTTTTAAAAAGCAACCAGTCTGATAACGAGAAAACCTACCGCCAAACTTATACCAAAGTAATTGTTTAATGTCGTCGCGTGATTGCATGACTGCAAGTCACAGGCGTCTGCAATCGCGCCCAGTGTTTTAGTTACGTGTGACCAATTACAGAGACCAACTCGACAACCGTCCAAAGATATAGGCTTCTCGTTCTCTAGGAACAACACTTGGTATCGGTCGTTTATTCCGAAGTTGCCGTTCAGTGTGCACCTGAGGAAGGGAGAAACAAACAAATAGTTAAACGATATTTTATTAGCACAAAATAGAAAGTAGCCAGCAGCCGATGGCAAATAACTGTTTTAGTTTTGATTGTAAAAGTCTTATAAAATGTGTTATTTTTTACATCTTGTAAAAGTGTTAAGGGTTAGTAGTATATTCTCCAGCAAGTCTTACCCTTAATTGTCATAAGGGAGGTCTATTTACCTAAATAGAGTCGGTCCCAGGGCACATCCCTGGGGGACACCAAAGCAGATCCCCCGTATGGCACTTGTAAAATTTCCCACTCGCTTGCACTACCTAGGCGTATGAGTTAACTTAAGAACCAGTCTGACTCAAGTTTCTTCAAGCAATAAAATCGAGATTGAAACGTTGTCAAAAGCCTCATCAAGGTGTTCAAGAACATGTTTGCATAGTAGTGAACAGAGTCGATAAAATTATATTTTAGCTGCCATATATTTTTAGTTAAACAAAGATGAATATGCCGTATTGAATTCATTTGATTAGTTTCATAAAAAGTTGTAACAGAAAAAAAAATATACTAATCAGAATATGTTGAACATTCGTACAACACAGACAGCTTAGTAGCTGTGGCAAGAAATTACATACCTTTTGGGTGCCCTCAGTTCATGGGCCTATTACTTTCACACTCAGCACCTACCTATGCAATGTATTCTACAGAATTATGGATTTATTTAATCACTCACTTGTACAACACAGCTGCTAAGTTAGCATTATAAGGCGTCATTATAGAATTGGTCCATTTCCTGGCTTGTACGGCTGCCGTATGGTAATTGTCTCCAGTAAGCGGTGCCGCGTCATTTCGGGCACCCATCGCGTTTACGGTCAACAAAATGGATGCTAATTCTACGAACTGTATCACTGTTCGCGGCTGCAGAGGCATTTCTAGAACAAATTGATTTAGAAATTAATTGGATGGTATTATGTGTAAAAAAACCGAGTGCAACTAGTTTATTTAACGAAGTCTTAGCTACAGTTACTTAGTAAATTGTCTCACCATTTTGGGTGTGGTTTTTAAAGAAGTCAATCATATCCTTGATGTGAGCGCAGCCGACCTTCTTGTTGAGATCAGTGCCGGGTCCGTATTTGTAATACGTTTCTAAGTCTTCGGCGTATTCCAATCTTCGGAGGTCTTCACGAGTGAATACCTAGGTATGCAGATTCAAATCAAAATGAAGTCTCAAACAAACATTTTAATAATTTTGACTTAAATTACAAAAAATCTTAATATAATTATTAAATAGTTTAATATATAATGTACTCTTTCAATCGAATTATCTGTTTCCTGCTGAGCTTAGAATTTCCGACTAAAGCATCTCTCTTCTAGCCAACCTAGCGTAGGGCTAGAAGAGAGCAGCTTTAGAGATAAGCCCACCTTTGCTTAACATTTATTTGTAACCTAGGTATGTACCTATACCTAAATATAATAAATTTCATGCTTAAAAGGCTGAGTTTCAAAAAATACTATTTTATTACTTGTCTAGGCAATAGGAACCTACAGTACAAATTTCATCATTTTAGGTCCAGCCGTTTCGGCTGTGTGTTGATGGGTCAGTCAGTCTGTCAGTGTATCCTTTTCTCTCTTGATGTAATAGTATAGATTTGTGTCGCAGATTTCATCAGGGCGTTCGACAAGTTCAAGCTAAACATTCTTATCGCCAAGTTTTGTTCATTATTTGGTAACTTCGTTTGCTTTGTATCTAATTGACTGAACGATCTTCATAATTAGTGCTAAAATCCCTTTAGCCCCTTCTACTATTAGGCATAGCCACGTGTTCTACATGGGTCACAAGTAGGACCTCATATTTATTAATACCGTTGTCTTATGTTATCTATTATAGTTTTAGCTGTATGATATTACAATCGTGTAAATGAAGCTTTGTATGTTTATGGTTTTACTCACGGAACACCAAGGTGAGACTTGTGCGACTTCCCATGCCTTGTTGTATCGACACATCTGGTACATATTGCGGATTGTTGTTGGTTCAACATCGTAGTTGAAACCTAGCCGCTGAGATATGTTAGTCACCATCTGGGTAAAATGTACATGTACAATCACCATTAGAAGCATTCGTTTAGAAAGCGAAAGATAATGGTTCGATTCCAGCTTGATAACTGAGCAGAGATGATTTTTTTTGTCTAGTAAAATTTATCATAGGACATAGTTAAACACTAAGGTACATAGTTCTGTTTACTGCAGTTACCGATTGTTTGTAACAGTCTGAAATAGTTTTGTTTTGTTAACAAATAATGACTATCTCGAGCTTTGAGTATCTATTAAACTTAATTATTAAGATCTCGAGATATTTGTATGTAAGTATAGAAGGACATTAATGTAAGTAAACAGTTCCCCTTGAGTTATGGACAATTGGAGATTTTTTTAATGACTGTATAATATAAATATTAATAAACATTTAATACTGTAATTCCTAATCGCGAAGTAAAATGTTCGAGAATCTATAAAACAAAACTACTTTCTTACTTTAAATATAGTTTTCGTTTGAAAACTACTATACTACGGCTTATATTGAAACTATCGTGCTACTTGACTTACTTGCTTGTATTCTAATTTGGACTCGAATATCTCTCTCTGCGCTAATGTTTCTTTGTTGTTCTCGACATTTTTCTTCCAAGAATCGCAGAATTGGTACGGCTAAGAAAATTACAAAAAACATTAAGTTTGAACATTTTCTACAGATTGCAAAAATAACTCATTACTCGTATATTTTTAAAGATAGTGAATTTAATTTCGTTGTCTCATATTTAACTCAAGACATCATTACTGGACTTACCCTGAGTAGTTTTTCGTCGTTTTCTTTGGGCAAATCGAGTCCGTCAGCCTGAGTCCTAAACAGTCCCTCTGTGAAAGCCTTGAAAGTTGTACTGGACAGCTTATCGTTCACGTACTTGAACTGCAAAACAGAAGTATTTACAACAGTCATTCCTTAATACTTAATGATACCTAATCTTTAGCTACTTCTGTATCCACTGCTGGAGCATGAACTTTGCCTATGGATAGAATTACACACCATACACAATTAAACGACCGCGAACGATTTAATTGCCTGACTTGGTAGATTGATTTTGGAAAATAATTTCAGGCTTCGAATACATGCATGTGCAATCAGTCAGTGCTTGTAGACGATTGAAACCTGATTTTGATTTCTTGCGGTGTTTGATCTATTATAGTCCAAGGGAAGGCATTATCTAGGTGCATGAAATAGATTTGTCCTGAAGTGATTATATTTTCTGTCTTATAATGTTTAGTCAAATAACTGAACTATACCCAAACTCAGTACTGGGTGTAATTAGTTGTTAGATTATAAAAAAAGACAATGGATTGAGCATTTCCTTTCCAAACTGTAAAGTAAAACTTAAGTAAGTGTGAGAAAGACGAAATAATCAGGCGGCACATCAAATGGAAGGATCATCACCGAGCTATTTAGTGATCCACTACTACTTTATTATAACGTCACTAAGATAATTCCTCTGAAAATAATCAATGGATATGCAATTTTTTCATAAGTTACACACTGTAAATGTCGAAACTGGCTGATGAATTATAACGATCGAGTTACGACAGAATTATATGTTAAGCCTTGCCTCTCGCACGTTTATTCAGTACGGGTGATCAAGGCATTAACATTAAGTATTTCTGAAGTTGCTGATTTTATATTTTTCTCTCTTCCTTCCATTCTCTCTTTTCTGTCTCTGTATTAGACTTAGAGAACTTACCAAGTAGTTATATCTGTTGTCGTTGAGCAGACCGGGGTACTTCTGCTTCCAGGCTTGCGCCAGTCCTTGGGTGTTGATGTACCCGTCGCTGGTGAGGTCCCCCGCGAAGGTAACATTGTGTCGAGGGTTCCACGACCATTGCTCTAAGAGGTTCAGGTCCGATGTGCAGATACGGCGCTGCAAATTGCAAATAAATTCAATAACCAGTGCACTATTTATTTAGCTGATAAAGTCGGGGGGCGTGAACAAACATCTAATGGGATGAGATGAGAAGTAAATAGTTATTGAAATCATTTTATATTTATCAAAAACCAATGCAATATGAAAATAATGAAAGCATATCGTGAGTAAAAGGTGAGAAAAGATTTGGTTTTATCTGAAATCTGTATAAACATGTAAGAGCCTGGTTATTTCCAGGCTATAACCAGGCTTATCATAAAAAGTCTATTGTTTTGGTTGGCCTAAACCTAACATGTATTAAAATTTCACGAGTATTCGAGTTCTGAACATCCTTATTTTTTTTAAATGTAGTACTTATTACCTCACACTATCTTTACATTAAGAAAATTCTTAAACTGTTGAATTATAACAATCGAGCGATAAGGTGTATATATGTGTTAGGTAGCATTGGACGTGATACGTAGCAAGGAGAATCGATGACTTTTGGGGCAGCAAGGTTCTTAAATAGCGACCCGGATCACGCTCAGTGGGAAGGCCTCCAACGAGGTGGACCATCAATATTGTGAAGGTCGCAAAAAGTCGATGGATGCTAGTGGCGCAGGACCGATCGGTGTGAAGATCCTAGGGGGAGGCCTATGCTCAGCAGTGGGCGTCTTACGGCTGATATGATGATGATGATGTTAGGATTACGTCTTACATTAGTATTTCTGAAATTCTGGTTGCGATAATTGTCTGCGATGTTTTGCTTGAGGTCGGCGAGGTTGCGCAGCGCATCCATCTCGCCATGCTCGGGTAAGGTGGAGCCGGGCCTGCTCAGTAGCCAGAACGCAATGGGTTCGCAGCCTGAAAGTAAAAGGAACACACGATATGGAAAAGACATATTATAATTATCTATGCATTAAACTGCTAAAGATCAGCGATTTTATTTATCCGGGCGAATGCCATTATGCCGACATATAGAGTACCTTATCATTTTGATAGCATAATCGATTGACATCAGTCTGTCCTTTTCATTCTTTATAAAGCATGATATGGACGGACTGTTTTAAAGTTTACAAAAAGCAAACACCAGGGTAAGTGCCGCAATTATACTGATTATGCTACCAAGATCATAAGGATTTTAGGAGTGGAGCTTGATGGTGCAGGTGGTTAGCGCATTCGGCCTGCGATCGTGAAAGTTAAGCAACTTATATCTCGAAACTTTTATACTAAAATTTTATTTTTAACTCTAATAACTCATTGCAACAGGCTACCTTCTTCCTTAATTAACATAAACAAAAATAACCCATCCGAGATTAATTTTATAAAACAGTATTTCTTGAGCTTATCTCGTCGTCTGTTTATTGACTGTTTCCGTTGTTTATGTCGTGGTGTGATGTTTTTGTAACCGTTTCTGTGAACCGGATTTAATGTGCTGGCCCAGTACCGCAACCACCCGACACGATGACGCGCCAGTAATGTTCATTCGTACAAAACATTATACTAACTAACATTTATACTTATAATTGGTCTAGATTAGGTTACAGATTTGCGGAAACGGCTAATGTTGGTACACTTTCAAAATATTATATGTTTAGATAGAATCTAAAAGAAAGGTAGGTACCTAGCTCTAAGTTCATGATAAGGATGAATGCACCAAGTAGCATTTAAGAGGCTAGGGAAGGGATCAAATAAAAAAAAATTTTAGAGTGCATATTTTCCGCTTGTATTGAAGCACCCCGTTTAGGGACTTCCCCAAAACTGACCAGGGGGCCATTCGCCTAACGGAAATGCTTTGGAAAACGCTAACGCTTACGATTTCATTTTGTTATTTCTAGCCGCCTGAGGTTTTCAAATGCCTCGCGCTCATTTTTTTTCTTTTGCATTGGTAATAACAATATTAAAAAAAATGAGCGTGACGTATTTGGAAACCTTTGGCGGTCCGAAATAACAAAATAAAATCTAAAGCGTTTGCGTTTTCCAAGCATTTCCGTTAGGCGAATGCCTCCCCGGTCAAATGCCCAGGAGTTTGTGAAAAGCCTGAAGGGAATGAACAGCCTCAAGTTTTTTTCATGTTCGTGACGTGACTCATCCATCATCGGCAACTAAAAATATGTCCAATAACGAGTGGTAGGGAAATACATGCAATTTGAATAGAAAATTATTGATTTCTGATTTCTGATCATGGCGTGGGGCATGACCAATGTATAATATAATACTTATATTGTCTAGCTCGATGGCGCAATATGTTAGATTTGCGCGTTTGGGCTGCGATCGTGGAAGCTAAGTAACTCTCGCAATTGATTTAGATTATTGAGAGGAAATAATCAAAGGGTCGGTCATAGTATGAAATGCTTCGTGGAAGGCACTAAGCCGTTGGCGTAGTGTATATATTCTGTGACGTTGGTCCTTCTGACATCTTCTGTTGTTAGTACCCACCAATCTGCACTGGACATGGCCGGAAAATCCGGTATTGTCCCGGAATTTTGCGTCTTGTCCCGGGTCCAGTAATTAGACCATATTATCCCGGATTCCGATAATGTGCTAGTTTCGTAACAAAATAAACTATTAACGAATGACACCGCTGGCCTGCCTGATGTTTTAATTCTGGGGCGTGATGGGTGGTTTGATTTGATGCTTTATTTTTTCAGAGGGGGAAAGGGTGCAAATGCCCCGGTATTGATAAGCTAGCATTTGGCAAACCTACTTACGAGCGCTTACGGCATACAGACTATCCGCTAAAGAACCATGCAAAACCGCGAGATCCCCGTTGAGGAACTTCACCGCGTCTTTGCCTGCCTGTGCCCTAGCAGTGGAGTTATTAATACGCTGATGATGATTTCACTGAAGCAGCACAAACAGTGGGCATAAATAAGTAAGAAAGTAGGTAAGTACCTACGTAATGAATTCAGCTACGAGATGAGGTGTTTATGTTTTAATGTGTACAATATACCTAATGTCATTAATTAAAATGGACTTATCGAAGTAATAATTATTATAATGTTATATTTTTTATCAGTAGAATACCTATAAATAAAAATCACTGTTTTACGGATTTATTATATTGTTCGTGTGTTCTGTGGTATTTACCGTAAATACAGGTGTATACAGTGTTCTTTAAATTTGCAACATGGAGGGATACAAGGGTACAAGGTTATTATTTTCCTAAATCAAGATTTAGTTTTTATATAATATAACAATACGCCTTGATTAAATTTGAACTGCAACAAATCTCTTATCTATTAGACAAGTCCGTCCGTCTGTCTGTGGTGCTGTTTCAGCGGCCAAACCGTAAGAGATAGATAAAGAGAATATTTAAGTTATAAGTTAAGAATAGTCTGATAAGACTACAAACCGGATTTGAGTAACGTAGCACTTCAGGTTTTCGAGAAATCACGAATTTATGTGTGATGATTTTTGGGTTACGCGCGCACCGGTGACTCATCGGTAAACAATAAACAAATACCCGTCACAAAATACATGAATCTAGTGCTTGGTGGGTGACAAAGGACCCAGCGCAAATTGGTGGGTGATAACGGTCCCAGTGCGGATTGGTGGGTGAAAATGGACCGAGTGCGGATTGGAGGGTGATAACGGACCCAGCGCGGATTGGTGGGTGACAATGGATCCAGGGCGGATTGGTGGGTGATAACGGACCCAGCGCGGATTGGTGGGTGACAATAGACCCAGTGCGGATTGGTGGGTGATTACGGACCCAGTGCGGATTGGTGGGTGATAACGGACCTAGCGCGGATTGGTAGGTGACAGTAGACCCAGTGCGGATTGGTGGGCGATAACGGACCCAGTGCGGATTGGTGGGTGATAACGGACCCACCGCGGATTGGTGGTTTGTGGAAAAGAGGTTTCTCTCTTCCTGTGTTCCTCCTCTTTCTATGTTCTGTAGTCGCCAGTAGTGATTCCGGACCAATACGACATGAAAACCCTCAAAAAAAGAACGAACTCCTTGCATAAAGGTCGGCATCACAATTTTTATATTTCTTTTGTTGCAGATGTTTATGGGCGACGGTGATCAATTACCATCAGGTTCACAGTCTGCTCGCATAATATGAAAAAATGTAAGTACGTATAATACAATCATTGTGTTCTACTGATAAGAATACGGGTTACTATTATCGCAGTATTAGGTAACCTGTGTCGTAGGTAACAAGCTTTATACACTACCTAAAGCACTTATCGACATGTGAAATAACCTCCGTGGAAATACTAACGCACCATGGTATCGTATCACGTAAGTAAAGAAATAATTGTATTACGAAGAGTTGTATGTAATATTACTCGTATTTAATCGTTGTATACGTCAATGTATTTAATGGAATCAGTAGGTAGAAGGTATACCTACAGAAAAAATTGCGGGTCGGGATAGGTACGCAGGTCGCGCTCCGCTCCGAGATCTCATGTAGTGCCAAGCTTCTAACTCTACACCAACGATATTAAATACTATAATAATATAATAAATAAAGGGTAATTAATATTCGTTCCTCTACACGCCCTAACTTCACAAACTCTACACGTAATCAAAATATGTAGCATGGTAGATTTACATAAAACAACAAATTACATAAAGAAATTGGCGTGTCTCCTACTGGCTAAATATTGCATCATTATCTTGAACTGATGGAATATTGATAGCCAGGTAATGTTCCATCTTCCGTTCTAGTTAACCATAAAAATAACCATGATACGGGGCTATGAATCAGGCGATGGCTTGACCTCCAAGTCGTTTATTATTAGTGCTAATTGGTACCAATATTGATTGACCTTTCGCGTTTTATAGGCACAAAAGTGGATCACAGAAGAAAAATCAAGGTAAAATGGACTTGTCTAATTAGAAAGAAGACAAAGATTTATTGCAGTTTGCACCATGGTCATTAATGGCATTCTCTTTAAGCGGCTTGTCCTTTTTCTCAGCATAAGCTTATGCTTATGATGAGAAAAAGGACAAAGTGGCCGTGAAATCAGCTTATTGTCAGGTTACTTAGACGGACGGAACTATTTCTTAAACTATTTGATAAATATTATAATCAGTTGAAGCTCTGCTTTCAGAGAGGAAGGTGTGCGAATTGTGTAATTTTGTAAGAAAGCAACCATCCTATCTATAAGTGTGTACAGTGCTGCAGGGCTAGGGCAGACGGCAGGAGGGTATTCTGCCATTGAAAATTCGCACCCGCCCCGCTAAAATTAATAAATGTTATCAAAATATAAGTCAGAAACGTGTAAGCTCAGATTACAGAACAATAGTATTGTTCTGCAATTTGAGGAAGAAAGAATACTTATTCTGCATGTGAAACGAGATCGAGTGGAAAATGTTCTCCTGTTGAATTATGAGAATTTATGTATTTCACTTGATTTCACCTTATTAATAATTCTCAAGCTTTTGATATCTTTTGTTATATGACATTGTTCATAAAGTAGTTAATCTAGCACGATGTACATACTCGGTACCCTTCACAATCCTACCTACTGAACCGGTTGCCAGGGTGTCATCTCATGTGAGAGCATATATGGGTCACATAAGTCTATTGTTGGATCACCTACTTTGTGAAGCATACGTGAGGGATGAAAAAGAAAATGTATTAAACACTTTCACAGAGTCATTGTGTACTTTTGTTGAAACGTGTTTAGATTCAGCTCTTATGAATTATGCATTTTATCAAAATATAACTATGAAATGTGCTGCTATAAATTAGTAATTTGTAATTTTTAATACAAGATGCTTTAAAAATGTACCTCTTCAAACCTAATAAATAAATAAAAACAGAGAAAGCTAATGAAGCACGTGAAAATAATTGTGATGATTGACTAGGAGCAGAAGAACATTTCGAAAAAAGTCTTTTGAAGGTAGA